ATAATTTTTATTTTCAATCGGTTTACAATTTTAACTTAATTGTTGTCAAACTCGTTACTAAATTGATTGATTATAGCCCAATCATTTAAAAATGATTTAGGCCAATCGGGTAAGGTTATGGCCTAGGATCTATGGATCTATCTAAACTCACTTTCTACTTTTAATAGTTATTATTGTACAGGGTGGTCCACGTAAGGTGACCCATATACTTATCTCAGAAACTACTGGAGTAACAAAAAATTTGTAGGGAACAAATATTCACGAAGTAAAAAATATTTTTAAAATATTATATTTTCTTTTATACAGGGACGATACTAACTTTCTTATTTTCAATGGAACACCCTGTATTTTTTTGCATTTTTGGATTCTTCCCACGCTTTTAGGTATACTTTGTAAATATATTAAATAAGAAAATGTTAATACTTTTTGAGTAAAATTAAGATTTATTAAAATTTCTCTAAATGTAGACACTCGCTAAAAGTTAAAAATAACCAACTAAAAGTTGTTATTTTTTATATTATGTAGTATCCATCTCTTTAATAATAAGTAAGCTATAAGTTAATTAATTTATTTTTTGGAAAATATCTACATTTAGAGGAATTTTAATAAATACTCATTTTACTCAAAAAGTAATAACATTTTCTTAATTAATATATTTATAAAGTATACCTAAAAGAGTGTGTAGAATCCAAAAATGCAAAAAAAATATAGGGTGTTCCATTAAAAATAAGAAAGTTGGTATCTTCCCAAGGAAAACACCCAGTAGGTATAAATGAAAATATAATATTTTAAAAATATTTTTTACTTCGTGAATATTTGTTCCTTACAAATTTTTTGTGACTCCAGTAGTTTCTGAGATAAGTATATGGGTCACCTTACGTGGATCACCTAAAAAAAATATTCGCATTTTACAAAATTAGTAGCTTTGCGCGTATGGTAATTATTATAGTAATATATATTTATATATAAAAGCATTTTTATTTGTTGTTATTGAAATTTATTTTAAATAATAATATAATAATAATATTTGAATAATGAAAATTTAACGAAGGTAATTGGAAAAAAGCTACTAATTGTGAAAAATGCGAATATTTTTTTTCTGTTAGGTTTAGGTATAGGACATATATATATAAAATGAAAGGTAATAACTTATTCTATCTAATTATGCAAAAATATATAGGGTGTTCCATTGAAGAAAAACAAGATTTTAAACTTTTAAAATCTCTATTTTCAACGGGATATAGAAAACACCCTGTATGATATTTTCCAAAAAATATAATAATTAACTTATAGCTTACTTATTATTAAAGAGATGGATACTACATAATATAAAAAATAATAACTTTTAGTTGATTATTTTTAACTTTTAGCGAGTGTCTATATTTAGAGAAATTTTAATAAATCTTAATTTTACCCAAAAAGTATTAACATTTTCTTAATTAATATATTTACAAAGTATACCTAAAAGAGTGGGTAGAATCCAAAAATGCAAAAAAATACAGGGTGTTCCATTGAAAATAAGAAAGTTGGTATCGTCCCAAGGAAAACCGAACACCCTGTATAAATGAAAATATAATATTTTAAAAATATTTTTTACGTCGTGAATATTTGTTTCTTACAAATTTTTTGTGACTCCAGTAGTTTCTGAGATAAGTATATGGGTCACCTTACGTGGACCACCCTGTACGTTGTAACTTGAAGATATAATGTTGTATACCATTCAGTCAAGAAGTAGGTACGCGTGTCTTTTGTGCTTCGCTTAATTGTAGGCGTCCGCTACGCATGGCCTTCAAACTTTGAGCTCAGCACAAAAATACTCACTTCTTGGCCTAGTAACATAAATAAGTATTTATTTCATTCATCATTAAATAATGGCTTTAGATGTATATTTTTAGGAATACAGTGTATAACATAGAGGTTGGGAAAAATTAAATCGTGGATCTTAGTAAAAATAAAAGATTATTTCTATGAAGTTATGCTCTACGGATTTCCGTTTTCAGAGTTTTATATATAAATATATTTTTATTACTATAAGACAAGGAGACAAACTAATAAAGAAATTGCATAGAATTTTTAGAAATTGCTTTATTTTGTGCTCTCCAGTAAAATAAAAAACAAATGATTTTTTAGGTAACTAAGTGGCTTACATACACGGACAAAATAAAACAGTAACCATTGATGCGCAGAACGGCAAACAGATAACAAATAATCAAATATGTATCAGTTAACTGATACATATATACCCGAATACTCTAAGCTTGAAAAAAAAATCTAAGAAAATATCTATAAAAACTTAAATTCGATATTAACGGAGGAGTGAATTAAGAAAATTAGTTCTTTAATACACTATTTTACTGCACAATTTAACTCGATCGGTTTTCCTTGTCACTGACTGCTAACCCATGAAGATACAGGTAAATCGTCATCAAAGTCAGAGTATATATACATCTCAATTATGAAGACCTCATCAGGACTTTGTTGACTGTTGATTATTTTTCAGCTGTTAGGAACTGAAAAATTCAGATTAATTTAACAGAAAACGTTAACGAGCTCCTCATTATACAAATATACCAGAAAAGGTACTATAAAACCTTACTTACGTAAACATGTCTCCCCTTCGTTATAATTATAAAAGCTTTTAACAGCAGTGAGATTAACGGGTGTGAGGTTTTTATTCAAATTTGCCGCTATTGACCTGTCTACTGGTTATAAAGACCCCGGTCCCAGACAATTGCCTGTTCATATTATTTAAATATGTAATTATATTTATCAATATCTAATTGCTTACCTGTTGATAACCACTAACAGCAGTGAGAATTATGCTCCACGTTAGAACACTTAATACTTGATTTTCTCGAAAATGTTACAAAAAACCTAAAAATATTATGTCACGCACCAAGAATCCAACTAAACAGTAACTATTTTTTAGGTTAACAAATACCTGGCAACGTAAGAGCCATCTATGATATTTTATTACAATTTAAGTCTATATTAACGGAGGTGAGAAAGTCATCCAGGGACACTTATAAAACAATTATCTGTGGGGATATAAAAAAACATTTACTAATATTTTTCAATATGAAAAAACTAGTGGTATTTTCGTGCTGTTTATTATTTTTGTGGTGAAAACTTTAATTTTATAAATAAGAAAATTGAAATATAGTGACAACTAACAAATGTGAGATCTCACGTACTGTTAACTAAAATTTTTATAAGATTTAAATAAATTTTGTCAAAATGCATGTGGACTAGCGTTAATTAACGTCTTAAGACAGTAATATTCTTTAATTTTACTACAAAAAAATACATATTTTTCCGTAAGTATGTAAATTATTAATAAGGGACAGTAAATTGAACATTTTCGTGAAAATGACCCTTCTCATTTATATAAATCACATATGGAACAAAAATAAGCATTGCTGTTGTCAAAGTAACCCGTGAGGTTAATTAAAAATTGTATTATTTCAAGTAGTAGTAAACATTGACCTTGACATTGTATATTAAGTAGGTTAGTGTTTTGCGCATAATTTTTTTTTTAAGGTTTTATTGGCTTTTAGTCTTTTTCAGACTATTTAGCCAGCTCATGATGTTTTTATTTTTTAATAAACACCCAAGGCTGTGACCGGGAATCGAACCCGGTACCGTGGCGCAGATTGATTACCGCTCTGTAGCTTTAACCCACTGCGCCATCCTCGGCCCCATGCGCATAAATGGTTACTGTTTTATTTTCTTTGTGTTCTGTCATTGCCGTAGGGTTTTATATAGAAACATATGGTGCTCCACTGGAAAAAAAAATATTTGGTTTATTTTTTTAATTTGCTTTTTAATTTACAAAAAATTTTCCCACTGGGTTTTCTTTGTGGCTCTTTTCGTTTTCCCGTAATTAAACCTTTTGTAAATATTAATTTTTTTTCGCAAACGGTAATAATACTAACAGGAACATAATCAAGTATGCCATAATCATTTCCCGTAACTGGATCGATCCAGTTACGTAAAATTACAGAATACGCATTGAAAAGACATCACCAAATAAAACAAAAGCTAAAATGTTGTTTCCTAACACCTAACTTAAAATATATATTGTGTCTAATATTAATGTTTATTATAAACATTAATATTAGACTTTATGTCTACCTACCAATTTTTTCCCAACCTTTATGTTACACCTTGTATATTTAAGCAAAGTAAGTAAAGCCCAAATTTATTTTTAAATAAATATTTAAATAAAACTTAGCATTTAAAGGTTTATTTTTTTAAATTGCATTTTTTGTAAAAATGAATAGATCCCTACCATTTACTAATATAAAAACTGTTTTAATATAACACCATTTTTCACCAATATTACGTTTTTAATTTAAGATAATTCAGAACAATACATAATATACATAACAATACATAAAATGGTTTACTGCAATATTTCTATGCTTAGTAATATATGAACCCAGAAATATACACGGTCCGGCAGGGAGGTATAAGCAACATGATTGGGCGATTTGGATAGCCACCAAGATATTTGTGATAAATTTAGTTTTTGAACTTGACCAAAAAAAGTACCCCAAGAGTCTAACAATTTTATAAAAGAAGTAGGCCTCTATCTGATGAATTAATAAAAAGTTTAAATAAAGTTAAGATAAAATTAAATTGTTTTTTTAATAAGAAGAGATTTGTTTGGGTTGTATTTCAGAAACTAGATCTATCATCATAACATGTTTATAGCTACCATAATTATTTAAATTTTTTAAATAAAATTGACCATTACCCTGTGGTGTTAGCAAATAAATAAATAAATGTACAATTTAAACAATATATTGTCCTATACTATAATTTATGAACTAAATGGAATTAGTAAGTCACAATATGTAACCAATTAAAATTAAAATTATGTTGTATGTATCAATAATGTTCTCATAATTAAATATTATGAATGTTATTTGTTTTTGTTAAATAAATTGTAAAATATGACCTGTTGTATTAATTCTAATTAAGAGATAAAAACTAAATTAGGTTAAACAATCATTTTATTAAATAATTTACAAATCGAGGTCAATATCGTCGAAATTTTCATTACCTAATGATGAAAATAGACTCGCCTGAGGATTTAATTTATTTTCTTTATTTACAGATTCGTTTTCTTTGGATTTGTTTTTCGGTTTAAAACCAAATAAATCTTTAAGGGAATTTTTCGCTTTTGACTTGCTTAAATTTGTATTACTATTATTTTTTACAATATTTTCTTGATAATTTTCTGAATAATCGTCATCAAAATTAAGATTATAATTCATAATATCATCATTTACACTGGGCAAACACTTTAACAATTCAAGATCATTATCGATATTTTTGTCTAGCTTAACTTTTTTGGAGGATAAATTTTTTTCCGACTTTCGAGATTTTTTCTTTCTATTAATATCGTTAAGGAGAGACGCATCCTGACTAATTACATTGTCAATTTTATTTGTTTTTACTGGCTTTTCCACCTCAATATTCTTATTTATATTGACATCAGGCTCTGCTCTATTGGAAAAATCAACAACCTTAATGATTTCATTTCGTTTAATTTTATTTTTCTTAAAATTTTTTGTGGATTCCAATCCTTCATTATCATTTACTGTATTGATATTACTTATATTATTAGAATCTTTTATTATTGGAGAAATTGCTCTATTATTTATTTCTGTATTAATATTTGTATTGGTTATATCATTATTTACATCAGGTTCTGTCACGTCAACACTAGTGCGGTTTTTGTATTTAAATTTGTTCCTATTTGTCTTCAGAATAATTTCATTTTCACATTCTATATTTATATTACCTATATCATCAGAATCTTTAAGTATATCATTTATTCCTATTTTATCTTCATTATTTTTATTTGTTATTTCTACCTCAGTATTTAAATCAGATCGTCCTAAGTGCTCACTAGCACGTTTTTTGTGTTTAAATTTATTTTTATTGGTTTTAAAATTATTTTTGGATTCCTTTTGCTTAATAATGATATCGTTTTCCTCATTTTGTGAGTTACTCCTGGAATTGTTATAAATACTATTGGACTTTTTAATATTACTCTCACTTAAAATATCCTCGGCATTTTCCTGGGTGCTAGAAATAATAGAATCGTTATTAAACTCGGGAATGTTATCCCTATCTGACGCGGCCATATTAAAAAACCTAGATTTGGTTATTTTCGCATTACAACATCCCAACTTTAAATGTTCTCTTTCTTGCTCCAACAGGTCTTGTAGGTTAAGTTTGTTCAATACTATTTCCACCATTTCCAGGTAATCGCCCATTGGATTATCGGAAAAAGTGCTGTGTGTGTTGAGATTTAGGTTTAAAAGTCTGCCGTCATTTTCCATGGCGGTGTCTACGAGGATAATAGCGAAAACAGCGTCTATGATTTGAACTTTGGAGTGGTACATCAGCTTGGCATGTCCTTGTGATAACCTTCAGTAAAGATAAATTTGTAAAATTCAGTAAACAATTTAAGAATACCAAAGATTCTTTGGCAAATAATATACGTAGTAAAACAATAATACCCTATAAAGGCCCATATATGGGTTTTAAAATTTAAATAAAATTTAAGAATTAGCTTGAGCATTATTATGACATGATTTTTTCTTAATCGCTTTCAGAAATACAAGGTTGTTGTTGAAATTGCATAATTCAAAAAACAAAATAATGTCTCCTAAACTAAAGAACATATCGATGGTTATTTGACAAAACATCGTAAGCGACAATTTTGTTGAATTACTTTTTATTTTATCAAAGTGTCAGTTACGATAAGCTGCACATGTTAACATAATAGTTATTCCAATTTTGGAATCTAATATTGGTCAGTTTGAATATTTTTATTGTTGTAAGCGCCTCTTCTTTTTAATTTGTTACCGATTTATAACGTAAGCGCCTATATATTCCCGACATGGCGTTTGCGATTTAACATTGTGTCGCTTACGATAATATTGTGCTCCCGCCTTGATCTATCAAGGCGTTATTCCCGTTCTAAACAGTTTATTCGTATATAATACCACTAGTGGTAAAATTTTACCGATAAAATTTTTGATTTTTATACGAATGTTTTTTTCTTGGAAATTTCGCAAGTGGCATTAATTAATTAATTAAGTTAATGCCACGAGCGAAATTTCCAAGGAAAAATCTTGAGTAAATAAAAATCAAAAATTTTTTCAGGGAAAATTTTATCACGAGTGGTAGGTATTCGGCAAGACTATTTCACGAATATTTTTAACTGCTGATTCAATTTCATATGATTTTTTGGACTAAAACGCATATTTTTTAACTTTTTAATTTTAAAATTAAAAACGTCAACAGTGACAATTATTTTTATCATAGCAACCAATTGGTTGTTATGCAACTCGTATAAACGAGTGGTTTTTTCACTAGTAATACCACTAGAGGTCAAATTATTTCCGGAAATTTTTTCGAGCTCATGAATATTTTGAAAATTATCCCGAGTCGAAGACGAGGGATAATTTTCTAAAAATATTCATGAGGGAGAAAAAATTTCCGGATTTAATTTGACCTCGTGTGGTATTCGGTAAGAAAATTTCACACCAAATTGTGTTTAAATAATTAAAATTTATTTTTTGATTTAACTTGACCTCGACTTGATTATTTAGTTACCATGGCAACTAAGTCAACCCCAACCTAAAAGTTATTTCAGTTTTGAAGCTGTCAAGCGGCACGACGTAAAAAAATGTGAAATTGTCTGCTGTAATGATCAATCATCGTGCAATGACTTATTTACCCGCATTATTAGAGGATTGTGGCTCCTATTTGAAGAAAGAAAATTTGTTTTGAATTGTTCACGAATATTTGCATCTTAACTATTCAAAACTCAAAGTGCTAAATGGAAAAAAAGGTGAATAGAATAGTGTCTAAATATTATATATATATTTCATTAGACATAGACATTTAATTTATTTCAAGTCCTGCATTTTCGCCATTAAGAAGAAAGGAGGTGTCCAACGAATATAGAAAACATCTAAACTTTGTAATGGAAATGTATCAAAATTATCATGTAAACAAATAAAAACCAGATTGTCAAAAAAATATTCTGTCATTATAAACGTCAAAAAAATTTCCAGTATAATTCGCTGTTGGGTACCCACGAGGAAAAAATTTCCACTAAAATTCAACCGTTGCCATGGTGATCTATCAAAAATACACGTTTTGATTGGTTAAAAATTACAGGTGTGGAATTTTCACTTATAATACCACAAGAGCTTCAAAATTATCGGGTATTTTTCCCGATAGGTTCGTTGCAAACAAATGAAGGAGTCAAGTTTTTCAGGTTAAAAAATCACGAGCGCGAAGCGCGAGTGATTTTTCCTGAAAAACTTGACGACTTTATTTGTTTGCAGGGAACCTTGAGGGAAATGCCAGATAATTTTGAAGCTCGTGTGGTATTCGGGGGATTATTTTTCCGTCCCAAATAGAATTGCACCATGAGACGAAATGTACAGTTAACAAATAAGAATTTCATAATGAATAAAACAACATTTAATTAAGATTTAATTTGTTTTTTATATATAGCAACTACCAGAGAAAATTTTCAAAAAATTATCGCTGTAATTCGCTGTAGGTTCCCTCAACAACAATGCCTCAACAATGTCCCAACAATACAGAGAACTGTCAAAAAAAATAATCACCTGAATAGTAGTTTTATCGCTGCAAAACTGAAAAAACCACTCGTTTTCTGAAATCTGATTGGTCCAAAAAGTAATGAGTGGAATAGTCGTGAGTATACCTGCATCGTGGTGATTGCTACCACAATCCACAATGTGGATTGTGATTGCTACCAAGTTTTAAAACAATATTTTATTTGATCAAAAGCTTATAATTCCTTTTTATCATTGCATTATTAATAGTTATCCTAATTATAATTGTTTTTACGTAGTGTGGTTCGTTAAAAGTGTTTTTTTGAAGTAAATGTATGTTGTTATAACGTCAAATAATTTAACTCAAATTTATAACGGTTAGATGACGGCCAAAAAATTTCGAACGACCTGTCATTCAGTTGATTTCAAAATGTAAAACTGCCTTTAGTAACAACTAACCTTACTTTCTGAAAGTTGTCAGTTTGACGTATTTCATTGTTGATTGTGTGGTTTTAAGGTTAAATTCTCTGTCAACTTTTTGAAACTGCTTGTCATCTTGTCAAAAATGTCCCTAAAGGTTGGTTTGCACAGACATTAAGTTCGGGCTCCTTGTGTAGGCTCCATGTGTTAGATACTGGTTTGTGAATAAAAATCGTTCGTTTTTTTCAAAGAAAGCTAATGTAGATTTTCATTTTCAAACATTGTTTGGCAAAATATCGTTGGTGATATAAATTAATTTTTTTGTAATTATTTTTTATTTAATAATAAAAGTAAAAAAATAAATGTCGCTAACATTGTTTTGAGAAAAGTAATCATCAAATCTATATCCCACAAAGTAACGTAAATGTAACTTAAGCGACAAGACTATTTTTACATTTTCCTAAAGATGTTCTTATAAAATATCGAATGCCACAAAATTTTATGAAAATTTTAGATTGTATTCGATCTTACATAAATATTTGAATTCTACATTAATAAAATAATGCCTCACCAGTTTTCAGATAAATAACTTTAAAAATAAAGCTCCCACACAAAAAAAATCTCTCCTGTAAAATTTAGGTTTTGTCGCTTACGATGTTTTGTCAAATAACCATCGATATTTTGTGAGTATTGTTTTTATTTGGTAACATAGTTAAGCCCGTTGCATAACAGCCCGGTAACGGGAACCTAAACGGTAAAGGTGGGAGAGTCTCAACAGTGTTTTTTTTAGTCTTTCCCACCTTTAATGTTAGGATTCCCGTTCCCGGCTATTGTGCAGCGGGCATTAATAGTTATATCCAGAACTTTTATTTTAAATAACGATTTTCAAATTTTAAAATTTCAATGAATCATTGTCTGTTTCATAATATATCGCTTACTTGAATACAAAAACAACAAAATTAACCTATAATAGTTATTTACGTGTCAAGCTTTGTAGGGTGAGCTACGCAGGAGCGAACCCCATAATCCAGTGAGCCTGGTAAAGATTAATTGCAAAGCGTGACAAGTACAAACTTTTATTTTCACCTTTAGATAACAATTTTCAAATTTAAAATTTCATAAATTGCTTTTCTACAAGTCTGTAAAACTTTACAGGTCTTTTATACAAGCCCGTAAAATATTACAGGGCTGTTCCTATAATGTATCGTTTACTTGGATACAAAAACAACAAAATTAACCTATAAAATGTTATTTACTAATGGCCACTTGCACCGTAAGTTTAACAGTGGTTTTATTTTTAACACAGGTTTATTTTTCATAACTGGCTTGCACCGTAAATTAATCCTCTTTAAAATACCTCCAAACTACTGTTAAAATAAACCCCCAATTTCGCGTTCATAATGACTTCATTATAACACCGCTTTTGGTTCTTTAATGAGGTACTTTATTCCACCCAAAATTTTAATTTTATAGGTTGGCTACTAGTAAAATAAAATATTGAATACCTATAGGTTATAATATTTTTATGATTTGTTTTTTAGTACTTACGAGACTTCTCGTGCAATAAATTTTGTTTAACACCAAAGAAAATCCTTTTTTCTTCTTTAACAGCCGCTTATTGTAAATATTTATTGTAAATTAACGACGCCATAGCGAAAGAATGTGATAATGTTTGAAAGGTTAATGACCTTTCAAACTTCAAACTGAGATACCAACTATGTAAAGTAAAATTCGACCAAATTAAATATAAGGTATAAAATTAATTTGTTTTATGAAATGTTTGCAAAATAGATAAAATATCATAAAGAACTCATGTCATAAGACCTTTTGTCGCACTTGTCCATTATAAAACTCGCTCCTTCGTCGCTCGTTTTATAAATTGTTTGCGTGCGACAAAATGACGTCTTATGACATTAGTTCTTTAATATTTCATTCCAACCAGCAGTAATTTCCAGTAATATTACTGATACACATGCGCGTTTGTAAAATGTCGTTCCAACCAACTAAAATTACTAGTTTAGAACTGGCAATTACTGTCAGTTCGTCGTTCCAACCAGAGTTACGAACAGTTAAATTACGGTTCAAACGATTCTTGCTCGAGAGCAAGAACTGTTGATAATAAAATTAGACGCATGCGTAGAAGGGGCACGTTATGTTTATTTATTAACGTTTGTAATATTGTAAGTTTGTTTTCTGTTAAAGTGGACATATTATTTAAAAATGACTGCTATACAAGGTGATTTTATTAATTTTTAATGTTAATACATCTAATTTTTATCATTTGTGAGCAGGAATGGAAGAATTTATTATCAATGTGCGATGTTATTAAAATTTACTTTTATATATATTTATAAACTCAACAAACCTGGGTTATATTTATTTCTAGTAGAAATGTCCCCAATAAAATCTAAATCCTCGTCATCCGAAGAATCATACAAGTAATTATTTAAAAAACCTGCCATATTTATTACTTTATTGAAATAGATATACCTAAGACAAAGTCTTAGAGATATACCTATATGCGCTTTACTTAGCTTTTAGCACAATACAATTGTGGGTTTTAGGTTATATTCTTTTTCTTCTGATTGTGAGTACTACTAGTTCAAAAAAGGTTCCAACCAGTTTATACATTATTCAAAATAATTTTACTATTTTTGTTCGCGCAGTCGCATTAACGCTGTTACGGACGATAATATTACGGTAATATTACTGCTGGTTGGAATGAACCTATTATTAATCCACCGTTAACGATTTATAACCTCAAAAGTACTAGTCATCAGTATTCAAGATCTTTTTTTTCAAAGACAGTTTTGTCCATTATTCCAGCCACAGCTGTACTACATAATATTGCTAGAGACATGAAAAAAACAGAGCCGCCATTGTCTAATGATATTAATGCCATGAACTGGAGTACCCTGTTTGTTACTCATCCACAAGATCGCAATCAATTAATACAAGATCATTTTAAAATTAAAATAAAATAAATAGCCACTTCTTGTTTATTATTATAATACATACCATATTAAGTTTTTCTTTTTCTTCTAAAATTTTTAAATCCGAAAGATTCATTTCTTTTACATCCTTTTTATTGTTAATTTCCTGCTCTAATTGTTTTAGCCCTATCTGTCTCTTTGATTTTAATGATACCCTTAAAGGTACAATTGTATCCATATACCTATAACTCCTATACGGGTAAACGACTTACCACGCCCCTTGCAATTATTAAGAGACAGGTATATGCAAGATACATACACCTGGGTATATGTATCTATCTCAAATGATAAAATGTTTCCAATGCGCATGCTACACTATTAAAATACTACAGCTTGCCTTGTTTCTTTTATATTGTCTTTTAGAGGATTTCTATATTCAAATTTTACTGGTAAATATGGTAAAAATTTAAAAAATATCTTTTTTAAACGTTATTGTTTTATGGTCTGAATAATTTTAGCCTAATTGTAGTTATTTAAATCTACAAAATTATTATTTAAAAAAAAGTATATAATCTGTCTTGGTCAATTTGGCAACAATGCATAAACACAAAATATTATTTTGTGTTTACGCCTGTGATTCTGGTTTATTACAATTACACTTTAATCAAAATTTTGGTAGGTATTATTTATGGTAAAACAATTAACTTTTTACCAAATATCTACTATGAACTAATATTACCTACCTATTTTTTTATTAGATTGCCAAGAGATTGGGAATGTTAGTAACCTTTAATATTTCATTATTTTTCTAAATCGGTCATTTATTTTTGGCCACCCGTCAACAATCTGGTTTTTAATTCAGTTTTTTTGATTAAATAAAAGAGAATTGCAAATATGATATGATATGAATATGCCCATTTATTTTAAACACTAGCTGCATTAAATTAAATTAATAAAAACACTTTTTCAAACAAAAACAATGTTTTCGACCAAAGAGGTTATAAGAAAATGACAAGGAAAAGAATTTTTAAATTTGGCGAATTTAAAACCGGGCGTGGTATATTGTGGGGCACATGCGCAAAAGTTCCCATTTAACATTTGAAATAAGGGCACCTTTCTTTTACGGCAAGAACAATTGCACATTGAATGAATTGTCGATTACCCGTATAGGAGTTATGTATTGTATATGATTGTATCCATTTTCTGAAAAATTTGAGGAGCGCCCCCTTTTTTTTCAGGATCTGTATCCTGGATACAGTATCCATATTATTTTCTCTTACCATCAACTGAATCGGTTGTACATGAAATAAAATCGAACCACAGATGATAAAGAATCGAACCAGAGATTATAAAGAATCAAACTCTTAACGACAAAATATATTTGCGTCACAAATAAGTGTGAAGTTAGTTATTAGCACCAATCTTTTTTCATTTTTTAGTCAAATTCCCTAGATCACTAGTTAAATTTTAAACCATAGTTAAAAAATCACGGTGCAAGATTTTGTACAATAATCCCCTGTTACCATTTATCTTGACAGTTAATTTAACGGATCAGAGAAAACGGTGCAAGTGGCCATAAGAAGGTGGAAATAAATTTCTTTACATAATTAATACAAGCAGTGGCGTGATAATATCCCTTTTAAGAAAAAAGGTACGCCAATGATCTAAAAAAATCACATTTTAGGCAGTCAATTTACGAAAAAAAAAAGTCCTCTTGAAGTTTTTATAAAATGTATCGTATTGAAGTAAAATTGCAATTCCAGTTTACTGTAATTAAATTTTATAAAATTTTCCATATGTCGTCTAGTTTGCTTAGTTCAAATAATGACATTTCAATCAACTCCTCAAATTTAGGTTTCTGTTCTAAAATAATCTTTTGTATAGTTTTATTTTTAATTGTAAGTTTTTGTTGTAAAATAATTTTAAGTGGTGTTGTTTATTTAGGTTTTTTTTTTAAATTGAACATTTTTGATTTGTTGTAAAACTTTAAGGGGACTTTTTTCATTAATCAAGTGCTTATTTTAAAAATGTAGACAATTTTGTTTAAATCATTGGCGTACCTTTCTTTTCTCTAGAGATATTATCACCTCCTTAACCCTTAACTGCTGACATCAATATTTGTAATACTTAAGCTGACATTGAGTCCACCAGACTCCCAGAACAAAACAGTCGTTTTTTAGGAATGCATTTTAACTTTTTGACCTATTATAATTAATTATCAATATTTTACATAATAGTATACTACAAATCAAAAACTTTTTGTACCTAAAAACGCGTAATTTAAAAAAAGTATTTTTCATGACACGCGCAGTGAACATTTGACTTTTGCTGCCTTTTGAACGAGGAAATGGAGGATTTTTTGGGAAAGCAGACGACTTAACTTTCGCATCTACAGATGATGAAAAAAATCAGCAGTTCTTAATTGTCTTTAGGTTGGTACGATTGAATTTTTGTTGTGCGTTAACTTTACTATGCTCCGCTCAAGGATTTATAAAACGTGTGAATTTTAACGACTTTTTTCTCTCGAAAGGCTGCGAATGTACGTACTATTACAGCAAAATATTAGCGATATAAATTTGAGATTTTTTGTAAAGAATTTAATGCTCTTAAACGACCATTAGTCATTTATATAAAATAAAAATGGGTTGCAGACAAATTATTCCTGTAAAAATAAAAAATAATGAAATTAAGAGTTGAGATTTTACTGAATTTTTATTTTTGCATATTCTATGAATTTTTTTGTTGCAGCGAAAAAACGGTTCTTTTAACACACAAATGAACCAAATTAGTTTTAAAATCACCAAATAAATATATTAGAAAATATATTTTAGTACAGTATTTTTTTATCCCAAAAAATATAATATAATATACCTAATATAATAAAACATACCTTATAAGACTGTCTAAAAGTCTAACAGTAGTCCTGGACTTATTCCTACTGTCCACTTTTCTTTGACATTGATAATAACTACTCAAAATTGTATTTGACTCCTCCGTTAATACAGGATTAATTTTCTTTATAATTTTAAAATATGCCTAGAAAAAAAAAGAGAAAATAAGTAAATCCCAAACCAACTATAACATACCTGTAATAAATCCAAAGACCAAGTATTATCAGTGAGTTTTGAATAGTTATTACCACCATTGAGAATGTAGTCTGCCACTAGAGAATCCCATTCTTCATTTACAGTGTCTCTTAATAGTAAAATTAAGTCAAATCTGCTTAGTAGGGGACTTGCTAAGGCAATATTAAGGCACAAAGGTTGGTTAGGATCCAAATTCCCCTTTGGATTGCAAGCGGCCAGTATGGAACATCTAGTACTTAGTTTGCACACTATACTAGCCTAAAATTAAATTTAGTTTAAAGCTATTTTCGAGGTTATTTTATAGTTATTATTATAGTTATTTTAGTAAATTAATTCAGTTGCTTTGGGTCTCTTTTTAGTGTCATTTTAAAAGCTTTTTTATATAAACTTGCAAATTTAAATTTAAATTATTGAAAAAGTATATTTTCAATATGAAAAAATTTCCTCCCTAATAGTTGTAAAACTAAATTTTGCATTTTATAGTTAAAATTTAATTACTTTTGCCACACTTATAGTCTGTTGCTCCATTGCCTCATGAATGCTGGTTCTATCATGTTCTTTCATAGAATTAAACTCATCTATGCAACAAATACCTCCATCTGCCATAACAAGAGCTCCTCCTTCTAATTGCCATTCACTATTTTCCTTAAATTAAAAATACTTATCAGTACCTAGATATATTTGAAAAAATATTTATTTTTAACTATTTATAATTTTTAGAATACACTCTACTTGATTTCAAACTAGCCAAAATTTAGTAGTTAAGTAGTTTTTACATTCAGACTGGCGTGTTTTACTGTCCATATTTCAGAAGGGGTTGGGAGTCCCAACTTGGGACATGATGTCGAAAATCAGTGTGAAACTTTTTTTTTATAAAGATTAGTCAATAAAAACAACCATAGCGTTGAAAAATCCGATTTTTGCTACCAATTTTTGAAAATCGATAAAGTCTCTCGGTAGCGTGACGTCACGATGTTATAATATAAAATGGTATTTTGGTAGGTATAAAAATGCGAACATAAACAAATTCGTTGACAGTTTTAATCTTTAATCTAAAAATAAAGTTTCCGATTTTGACGAAATTTTGCTAAATCATTGTCCCATTAAACTACATTATTTTTTAAATTTTTCAAAAGGGTGATGGCAAAGACTGACTGGTTGCAGATATAGAAGGGTTTGATTATTTGATTTTAGGTAAGCAAATTTGATTTTAAAAATATTTTTATTAAAAAGGCCACTTTTAATAAAGGAAGCTTATTTCTTCATCTAAATTTTGATGTATATATTAAAATGAGATCTCGACATTTACTTCAAAAATAAAAGGGGTTAAAGCGTTTTTTGATCTACTACATAAGTGAATAAATGATATAGGTCGATTTTGAGCACCATAAATAAAAATAATTTCAACACGTTCAGCCGGTGTGTAAACTATTTTGGAACTTGTTTTTATAAATTTGTTACACATTCCTTTAAGGATTTAAATTGTTTAATAATGCCAATATATTTCGCGACAAAAATTTTAAAATAATAATGACTATTTTAAAATAGACTCATTGAAGTTATTTTTTGCATTAAAGCTTCAAATTAAAGTGTTTTGATTATTGTTGAACAATTTGTTTATTTATGTTTTTTTTTAGTTTATTACACTTTTGTTAAAATTATTTTGTATTCTCCAGTTTTTTTACTAATGTTTTTAAGACAACAAAATGGTTTAGTTTGATATTTATAACGAATAAATAATTATAAAAATTATTTTGCGTATCTTTTGAAAATTAAACTATTAAAAAGTATTTTTTTGGTACTGTAGCAATATAATAGCAATTTTGAATGCTTTCCATTAAGATATCACAAATAGGGCGTTTCAATTTAAAAAACATTGGTTTGGGATGGCTACAGCCCCAGGGGTTGCTTAGTGTAGGTCATTTCCTAGAAACGGTTTTGAGAAATTTTTGATCTTTTTTAGGTCCAGACTTATAGAGCATTGCTCATTTTTAAATAGACACCATGTATGAACTATGATTACCAATCATCTGTAATTTTAATTTTTTTTAATCATTGAGCCGGAGCGCGTCCCCAAAAAAATATGTTTTAGGTTTCAATTACAGCGCAAACTTTTTATTTCGTCACCTCCCCTTATTCTAAAGTTGAAGTGTTGAGGCCCAATGGCGAAAATTACGGGGGGGCCAACATTTTTAGATACGACCCCGATTATAATTCCGCCTTTTGTTGGTTCTATTACAATTGGATTGTGGGGTATATTACACAGTGCAACAGCAAAAAAAATGATGAGGTTCTGAAAGTAGTTTTCGTTTCTCCTATCCAAAGAATGCCTTTTTGCGTTTACAGAATGTTTAGATTGATTCAGCCTTTTTTTTAATATCGATTTTAAGTTTTATTAATTTTGTAACCCGAAAAACCGTTATTTATTAATTTAAACCAATTAACTGGTAGGAAATTGTTGTCATAGCAATAAATTAAAAAGAAATAATAAAAAACAAAACAAAAATTAAAATGGGTGTAAACATCAAGTAACTTTTAGTGACATGTTTAAAACATGTCACTAAAAGTACATTTGCTCCAAGCACATCTTGACCTGTTCGAAAATCAGCTGTCCACCAATCAGAAAAGCATAAAAAAATAATGGAAATAGAAAATCGTTATAGAGAAAAGAGGTTTGATTCAATGTTGGCAGATTTTTGTTGGTCTATGGCAATGGAAATTTTGGCATAAAATTATAAATAAAATTTGTTATATCTTTTATGTTGATTCATTATATTTGTTAAAAAGAATATGTTTTTAATAATTAATATAATAATAATAATAATAATTACCATAAATATTATTATGGTAGAAGCGAAAGAACTAAGAAATTGAACTACAACATATTAAATCCAGAAAAGGTTTAATTTAAAAAAAAATTGCATTTTAGTGTTCTCATTATTTTTTTATTTAATTATTTTTTTCTTTATTTAATTGTTATTACTTTATAAAACAATATACAAAACCAATAATTATCTTTTATGTACTAATTATTTATTATTTTACGATATTTCAGGATCCAGAATTACTAAAACTTTAAATTGATATTAAAAAAAACCAGAATCAATCTAAACATTCTGTAAACGCTATAATTCATGATTTTGATTGTAGAAACCGAAAATACTTTCAGAACCCCATCATCTCAATTTTTTTCCGAAAATGTTGCAGTGTTATATACCCCACAATCCAATTGTGATATTTATATAACCAGCAAATAAATAAATTTTTTCTTGTTTACATCCATTTACATCCAATTTTTAACTCGAAAAGTAAATAAATGATTATAAGCATTTTTTTAAAGCGCTCTAGCATCTGCCATCTCTATTTTATTCTATTTTTTTAACTTCAATCGCCTCCTGTACAATTATATTTTTTGACCTAAAGTTCGTTTTTTTTAAGCGCGTCACATTACTAATTTAACCAAATTTTAAAATGTATAGATTTATATTGGATTTAATTAACATTTGGAAAAGGAAAGAATATATTTTAGAACCAAAAAAGTAATTTGCTCCAACTTAAAAAAAGATAATTTTGGACACTCTTTTTCCGTCTGGCCTCACTGTGCGGCGATATGAACTAAAATTTTCTCATATTTTTTTAGATTTTCGCATCTAGGGAAATATTGAATTTAGTTTTTACAAACCTTTACTGCTGTAACAGTCAACCCAGCAGCTGTGGATCCAACACCTGTAGTCAACACAGATCTAGGTATGATTTTTGAAGCAAATCTTAGCAAATGCGATTTTCCTGTACCAGGGTCGCCAACCAACAACAAATGTGATTCGGATCTTATTCTTACTCCTGTGGAGGACACATCTTCTACATGGGCACCTCCTGCTAAGACTAAAGCTGTTGCCAACTTTACAAAATACAAACCAAACAACTAAAAATATATTAGGATATTACAAAATTTAATGTAAAAAAGTTTTGTTTTGTTTTTTTAAAATGAAATACCTATAACACTTAAATTATTTAAAAAAATTTAATGAATTTTATTTATCAGTATTTACCTGGGGACAAATCGATTTTAATATAATATCCCTTCCAACAAGTGGTTCTTTAGAATATGCATCCCAAAAACTTTCAAACATGTTTCTTATTTCTGGTGTAACACTTGCGGATCCATAAGTGTTATTAACTTGTATATAATTGGCTTGCAAAACAGTTTCTACGTCGCTTTTTTTACCTGGAAAGATTGGTTCCCATCTTTGTTTTACTATTCCACTAAAATCAAGTTTTAAAAATTTTATAAAATTTTTTGTTTCTATTTAATTTTGTCTGTGTAAAAAATAGAAAAAATTCCTTTAAATTTACAAAAAATCACACAGTTTTTTGCCCTTTTTCCATCCACATGGAAATGGCCAACTTCCTTAATAATTGAACTCTCTACTTTTTATAATTTTATTAAAACTAACTTCATGAAGCAGCCTGTGACTAAAAACCTGTTGTTAACTTCAGCCCGTGACTAAAGCGCCATAAAGCCACAACTTGTCAATGTGTATTTAAAAGTTCGCTTAGTGTCATGGAAACATGTACGATAAAGGGCGTTTTAAAGGTGGGAGTAGAAAATAGTATATTATGTATCAAGTTTGATAAACGCCATTTTATACACGAATTTAATTTAAGGCATTTTTTCGCGTAAATACTATGAAATACTATGGTTATTAAACTTAACCTTGGTTAATAGTTAATGTATTTTCGCGTTTAGAGTGCGTTCCAAAATCTTAACTATGAGTCACATTAACTAGACCATAAAACTACCTCGGCAAGCTGGTTATTCAATCTGGTTAATAGTCTATCTCTTTCTAATGTGTATATTTCTTTATTTTAATCTGTCAAAAATGTTGTTTTAATGTCAAAAAAAATTTAAACAGGTAACCACACTTTTTTATATTAGGCGTAATTGGCTACAAGTGTTACGTCATGGATTTTAATCAGAATTTCCAAGGTGGAAATTCTAGGTTATAAAGTTTATAAACATCAAAAGTTACATTTGAAATCAACCGTGGTTTAACGAATTAACCGTGACGTCATAACTTTTTTAACTATAGTGTTTCGTGGTTATTACGCGAAAAAACGCCTTTATAAAGGCCTATAGGCACGAGCGACCTTGCGAGCTAGTTCTTAAATTAAGGAGTTTAAAGAAAAGTTTATAAACGAGGTGCATACTATACTTTTTCTACGACAAATATTATTTGTCATATACTTATTATTATCTTAAAATGATTTAAATCAAATACTTTTATAGAGCGCCATCTATGAAACAATAGGGGAATCTGTGTGTCAAATTTTTATAAACACATATTATAAAGGTTATAAATCGAAATTCTTGAAAATGGACAGTTTTTTAAAGTGAAAGTAAAGAAAATGTTTTATGAGCACTTTACAGTGGAGTCCGTGTCCGAATTTAAGTTATAGTTTACTGCCGGCGAAATTAAAAGGTCAGTACAATGTTCATATAAACTTTTCAAATATTGGCGTTTGAAACTATTTAATACTTTTGTATTTTTGTATTGAGATAATAAAATAATTTTCACATTTAGTATTATTTTACAAGAAAGGCACTTTATTTTAACGATTGTATGACATTTGACAACTGTCAACTAACTTAAAACTAACTTCAGCCCGTGACTAAAATCCTTTTTCTAACTTCAGCCCCGTGACTAAAGCGCCATAAAGCCACAACTTGTCAATGTGTATTTAAAAGGTCATGAAAACATGTACGATAAAGGGCGTTTTAATGGTGGGAGTAGAAAAAAGAAGTTAAATTCATTGACAGATGTCAAATTTTTAACAATATAAAATTGGGTTAAAATTCTTCTTTGTGTTTGTTGTAGATAAAGTATAGTATGCAACTGGTTTTATAAAATTCTCTAGAGACTCGTTTTAATTAAACACTCCCTTGCAAGCTTTGCTCGTGCCTAATAAAACTCGTAACTAAAATGGCGTTTATATAATTGATAAAATTTGCTTGTGTAAAAAAATTTTGTTATTAATATTGATATCACTAAAAAACTTCATTTTGGACTAAAAACTTGTTAGTAAAAAGCCTGTGTCTGTATTTTTATTTATTTTGTAAATTTTACTTCTATTTTTATTTAAGTGTTTCTTACCATATTGTTACACTGTCTCCTGGTTTACATCCATCCACAAGGTCATCTTCAAGTGTAACCAACATAGAACTTGGTATAGAACCTATTCCAAGTTTTGTTACGGATTCTTGAACTTTAATTTCTTGATAATCCTTACAATATTCAGTATCCAAATCACCAAAATTAATCAAATTTATATCCTTGCAACCCTCAGGATTAACACACTTTTTTGGGGGTACAATCAGATTTTTTTGCGCATAATTTGCTTTTACAGAGAATGAATATTTGCATTTAGTGCATATGTATTGTCTTTCGAACTCTAAAAGTTTGGGAGCTGTTATTCTTACTACTGTACCTGGAAAAATATATTATTTTAATTTAAGTTTCACTGTAATATGTGTTTTTAAGTTTATAATTTTAAGATGGTTTTTTAAAACGTTTTCTTTATGGTGAATTGTGTTTTTGTAATTGAATGAAATAATCATGAGAAAAGCAAAAACTTTTTAATTTTTATTCTTTAGCTTAGCAAAATTAGTTAAATTAGCTGTTAGTTTTACTTTAAGTACCAAATTTAATGATATTTAAAATGTACTTTGGAAAGGTTTAGAGTTGTAAATGTTTTTTTACCAGTTGAATGTGTAAAAGATGACACTAAACTTTGCAAAGTAATAGGCCACATTTCATTAGGTTAAAACAATATAATTAAGTGTCTTTTCAACAAGTTAAAACACCAAACTCTTGGTTTAATTATAATTAAAATTGTTTGTAAAACTATGCCATGAAAAAAATTGTATACTTACCAGATATCTCAAGAAATTTTCCTACATCCTCATTATTTGGAAATGTGGTTCTCACAAGTTCAGGACAAATAGGTAAGCTATGTAATCTGCAGTAAATTTTCTTTAATTTGCAATTTTTCTTTTCCGCTAAGCTGCACTGTACTTTTAATACAGATTTGTTCCATTCCGATAGGGCTGTGTCTGGGGTTTTTAAAACTGCATTTCCCAGTTCTGGATTGTTTTCAAACAGTTCTATAAAACTAAGAATTTTATTTTGTAGTCTAATGAACTATTAATTAAACAAACTTGAGGTGAATAGAGTAGCTTTTTAAATTATCTTCTTCAGATAGTAGTTTGATTATGTCATCTTTATGATGTGACAACAAATATTCTTCGCACATTGTTGTTTAAATATTTTGATTTATACGAATTTTCTAGGTTTATGAACATAACCTAAAATCAAAACAACAGTCAAAGATAGAGAACAGTATTAAAATTGCCCGCCCAATATTGCTTGCCATATGGCAACATCGCATTGAATAGTTCAAATAAACACATCTTTGTTCCGAACACAACGGAGTTGGTTAAGACCAAGAAGACTAACTATATGATTACCCTGCAACCTTTATGTTACCCTGCTAACTAGCCGGTCAAAAAATTTTGTTCGGCATAATGCAGTGGATGCCGAAGTGCTAGAGTCCCTTCTTAAGGGGGCTCCTGAGACTATATAGGTATAGTGGATTGTGGGTATAGTGTATGGTCCATAGATTATAAAGAATACTCGACGAACTTCGTAGTAGCTACGATGTGCGGCAGAGTAATAAAATCACTGTCAAGTTGACAGTGTCAACAGTTTTGGAAGTGCCTTGATTAGTTGTAGCATGGACCTTACACAGATTGCACAAATTAAGTCTTTTTTTTCACCACCAGCTGCGCTGATTGTCGATGCGTACTGACGTCTGCTCTTTTGGTAGCGTTTCGGTATAAAATTTGTACTACAAATTAGTCAATTGTTTCAGAATAAACGGTAGGGGAGAGTGGGGAGGGTTTGGACACTGGGAGACAATGGACAATGGACAAATTTCGCGGTTCCAGTAAAAATTTCAGGTTGGTCCTACTATTATAATAGTATACAGATCGTCAAGTTGGTAAGGTATCAAATAGTGGAAGTGAAATAATATGGAGCTCACAGCACAAAATTAGGCTGATCAGTGCCTAAACTCCAAAATCTACATTAGATTTGTGAAGATGCAATAAGTTCCCACAAAGGATGGTCGAAATATTAAAAGATTGAATAGTCATGTGCAAAATGTAGTGCATCGTGGGTTTTTTTGCTATTTTTTTTGCCCTCTCGGCCATTCCAAGCCCATGGACAGGACACATCAGAAACATGTCTAAATATATTCTTGTTACTTCCTTAAGTTTACTTATTTTTTCTACAAGTATTTATGAGAAGTATTAGCCAAATTTGGCTAATATTAGCCAAATATATACTTCTCATAAATACTCGTAGAAAAAATAAGTAAACTTAAGGAAGTAACAAGAATATATTTAGACATGTTTCTGATGTGTCCTGTCCATGGGCTTGGAATGGCCGCTCTATTTTTTTGTATGACTTCCGCTGCGTGTATCGTGATTTCGTTTATGTTTGAGACATTAGTGTATTAGTGAAATAAGAATGACTTTAAATTATAAGTGTACCGATAAGTTTTGTTAAGCTCGAACCGTAATGCTAAAATAAAAGATTGCTTTATGAACTAAAGGGTGTATCAATAAGAGCGCAAGATTTCAAAGTTTAGTAAAACATGGTTTTAAGTATTAAAGCATTCAAATATTTATTGATTTATAAAGTACACATTTGGAAATTATGTATAAAATAACACATCTGGTAAATGGCCACCACGGCTTAACTGGCACAAGCGTATTCTTTTGGCAAAATTTGCAATAACATTATTGAATACATGTGGCGTTATTTCGTTGATAGAGCGTCTAATTTCTGCTTTTAAGGCTTCGATGGTGGCGGGCTTGTTGGCATAAACTTGTGACTTCAAATAACCCCACAGCCAAAAGTCCAAGGGTGTTAAATAGTGGTGAAAATGGGCCTCATCACTGAAAATGATTTTGTCCGCAAAATCGGCATTCACTTTTTGCTGCTCAAGAATTGGTGAACTCTTTTCGCTGTTCATGGTCTTTTGGCTGGAGTTGTTGAGTCAATTGGACTTTGTAGGCATGAAGATGCAAATCTTAAGTAAGAATTCGCTGAAGAGTGGCTTTTGTAATGTCCAATTCTTGTGCACGATGGCAAATCGACGTCTCTGGACTCTCGGCCACACTCTTGCGAACTGCTGCGACATTTTGTTCTGAACGAGCTCGTGTCGTGTGTTTCACATCACTAACCAAAGCAGTGCTTTCAAATTTTTCGATTATTCTTTTCACAGTAGATGAATTAGGAACATTATTTCAAAAAAAATATTGGACGCCCTTTACGAATCGTGGCAATCAAACTTTCATCATTTTGATAATAGTGTTTAACAATCAGGACGGGTTGTTCTATCGTGTAATGCTCTATATTTACTAACTTCCATCTGTCTCCTATCAATCTGTCATGTCATTAATCATGTGACATCATGGTTGCCAAACTGAGGCGAAATTCAAATCTTGCGCTCTTATTGATACACCCTTTATAAAGACTGAAGTGATATTGATGGACATATATGTTTGAAGAATAAAATAAATAATCCAGATGAAAACGAGAAGAAAAAAATAATTAATATTGAAAAGGAAGGGAGCGGCTATAGGAACTCCTAGACTCGCCCTCCCCAGTTATAGGAAAAAGTTTAAGCTGGCCAACTCCCGGAAGGGAAAAGCCAAAAAAGGAGAAGAAGAAGAAGTTTGAGTTTAGCTGTAGAAGAGGTAAGTGGAAAAGTTTATTTTCGAGTTTTTGCGTGTAATATTTTACTTTCTCCTTGTAAGCTTTTCTGCCCAGACCGTTGTAGATAAATAATTTATATTCACGTTTACGTTTATTTTTTTAAATTTAATTTAATGTTTAGTTTTTTTGTAATAAAGGATTTTTTTATTTAAAATAATGTTAACTTTTTGATTGCCACTTTTTTCAAATGTGTAGGTAAATTTTTTTCAAAAAAAAATCAATTTTTCCAAGGCCTGGGAAAAAAACGGAAAAAAAAGGTTTTTTCCCCAATTTTCCGTTTTTTTTCAACACTTTAAAACCCTAATCAGAACTGTCAAAAATATTTCATAATTATTATTTGTGGTATTCATTTGGTGATTTTAAAAAGTTAGTTTTTTTGTAATAAAGGATTTTTTTATTTAAAATAATGTTAACTTTTTGATTGCCACTTTTTTCAAATGTGTAGGTAAATTTTTTTCAAAAAAAAATCAATTTTTCCAAGGCCTGGGAAAAAAACGGAAAAAAGGTTTTTTCCCCAATTTTCCGTTTTTTTTTCAACACTTTAAAACCCTAATCAGAACTGTCAAAAATATTTCATAATTATTATTTGTGGTATTCATTTGGTGATTTTAAAAAGTTTTGTATATAACATAATATATTATATTATGTTATATACAAAATTTACCAAAGAAATACGCAGAAATAATATTTATGAAATATTTTTGACAGTTCTGACACTTCTCCACCAAACATGAGATCCATCTAAATTTTAAATTATAAATAAAACTAACAACATCGCTACCTACTAAACGGCCATTAAAAAAATTAATATATCTTTTAAAGGAATAAAAATAACAAAACAAGACTAACTGGACAGAAAAGATGAAGGTGCACCCCATGGGGACTACATTTCCTGAAAGATTCAGATTTTTATTTTTTCCTCAACATATCAAGTACTTATACAATAGAAAACGTAACTATTATTTTAAGTTTCTAGAATATCATTTTCTTTATTAAAAAAATTATTGAAACTTGATAATTCTTAAAATTCGTCAATTTTGCCCTCAGAAATCATTACCTATATACCTAGGTATATAGGTATAGGTATATAGGTAATGATTTCTGAGGGCAAAATTGACGAATTTTAAGAATTATCAAGTTTCAATAATTTTTTTAATAAAGAAAATGATATTCTAGAAACTTAAAATAATAGTTACGTTTTCTATTGTATAAGTACTTGATACCTGAAAAAAAATAACTTTCTAGATTTAGTAGAATAGGCACAGGAGCCAGACAAAAATCACAAAAATTGGCAAATTATCATGAATCTTTAGTGGTTTACCATTCTTTTATGAGATTAACTAATTGGATAATAATAATTTATATCGAAAACACACTTACTGAACAGTAAAACAAAATTAAAATCATTTCAATATTTGTCACAGAAAAAAGTTCTGGCCCACTATAAGAGAGTAAGAAATTGACACGATTTCAGATTTCTAAAGGGTGCTGATTAAAAGTAATTACTTTTAATCTTTAAAGAATCCAAAAATTAAAACGGCAACGGATTTTCATATTTGATACCTAAAAGATCATCCTCAATTTTTTTTATCAAAATAAAAATCAAGCAGCGCACCCCATTTGGTGTTTTTATTTGGAATGACTATATATATAAATGAATTCAAAAGGATAATTAAAAGAGTGCATAATATTTTTAATAAAAATCAAATTAAAAAAAACTACCCGTGGGATTTTTTTTATTTTGCTCTTAGTTTCATCATAAATTAATAAAAAATGACAAAATTTCATAGAATGTCTGAAAATCACTTCTCAGAACAGCACCGTGAAAAGCTTTTTTAACGCGATCTATAGAATAAATATATTTATAAAATCATTTTTGTGGTTCAAAAATGCATCTTTGCGAGAAGATAGGTATATCGACAAAGTAGATATTTAACAAATTCTAAAAATTTAAGAAAATGGTTTGAATTGTTTATTTTCTAACAATGATTCTATAAAAACCATTAATAATTTAAATAAATTAGGTAGGTACAACAATAAATATAAAAATAAACAAAAAAGGCCTACTGGTAAAATACAATAGATTAAAAGCAAACAAACAATAAAATAATCAACAATATTACTCGTATGTGCTAGGACTACTTACTTAAAAATATAATATTTAATTTGTTATACGCTAACTCTACTGACAAAGTATTGTGCTAACTCAATTAAGTAATGTTAATGTTAACATTTCTTTTGCTATAAGTACATCAAACAAGTTGGTCATAATTATTAAACTTTAAAATATTTAACAGCATTTAAAACTATAAGAACCTAATTAATAAATAACACTGGTCAACAACTTTTTTGGTCCATTATGTAAATTTAACCTAATTATTATTCTTGTTGGTAATAACCACAATATATAATATATAAAAACAATAATATTTGTCTTCTGTAATAAGAACCAAGTATAAAAATAAAATTGACCAGTGGCGCACTTTTAATAATAAGTTTCTTTTCTGTAGAAACCATCAGGGTATTTTCTTATATGCCATTTTCTTAACTCGTCAAAAATTATGATAAAGATGGCGAAAGGTAACGAATAACACCACCTGAAATAAAAAAATAGAATAATAAATTACGTTGAAATAAAACGTTGAAAGGAACTAAAAGTGTTTAAGAACACTTTATCTAATTAATAAAAATAATAAAACTAGTAATGCGTAAAATTAATATTTCATGCAATTTTTTATGTGAACAAATATTGGAGCCGTCCATAAATCTTAAGATGTCGAAAAGGGACTCCACACCCAACGTATTTTTAAATATTGTCTTAATTTTTAATTTATATTTTTGTTTCCATTGAAAATTACTTTTAACTTCATTTTTTTCATTTTGTTAATAAACCGTTTAAAAAATGTATTTTTTTGTCCAAATTTTCTTTGATATTTCTAAATTATTTCTTTTTTTTAATTATCATTGAGCAAGTGCGGCTATTTCAAAATTTGTAAATTTTAATATAGACCCACATAACATGCTATGGATATGGATATTTTATGGATATACTTGATATATTCATTTATGTATATCCATTTGTGAATATTTTATGGATTTACTGAATATATTTTTTCATGTATATCCATAAAATTGATATACTTGATACATTCTTTTATGTATATCCATAAAATGTCCATAAATGGATGTACTTGATACATTCTTTCATGTATATCCATAAAATGTCCATAAATGGATGTACTTGATACATTTTTTCATGTATATCCATTTATGGATATTTTATGGATATACTTTGTATAACTTTTATATAATAAAAAATTATAACTATAGTATATAAATATAGTATATTATACTATACTGCCGTCCTAAGCGCAGAAGCGGTAACTGCACATTTAAAGGAAATTGACATTTTTCCGTAAATGAACCTAGGGTTAAAAATCTCTACTTTAATACGGTATTAAATCGGTATTTTGTCAGTAAATGATTGAAATATCAAGTTATTTTTAGCGGTGTCTGTTACCAAACTGAGTTGGCAGAGCTATTAACATAAAAGTACCAATATCTCATGACAGCCATTATGTTAATTACCGCTTCTGCGCTTAGTACGGCAGTATAATAGTATACTATAGTTTTAAATTTTTTACTGAAATTTTTAAATTTTATATTATAAGCTTAGAATATACACTGGAATCAGTGTATCCTTTGAAAAATCGTTTTTTCTCCACTTGTTTGAAAAATTCCCTCTTGTATAGAAAAATAATAAAATTAATTACAAAAATAAATAACTTTTAAACAAAAAACTAAGTACAAGACAAACCTATAAAAAATGAAACTATGTGGAAACATAAACACTGTAATATAAATTTAAATTTTTATTATTGCTGTTTAATTTTTGTGTAAAATTTATTTAAATTTTTGGGTATTTGAATTAGTTTTAAAAAAATCCCGTTTTTAGTTACTTTTTCCAACGATTTTGTGTTAAAAATTCCCGCTACGCGTCTGCACTATTTACTCACAGTATTTATAAGAGAACAAACTTAAACTTAACCTAACAAATATGACAGGTAGTTTAAATTTTAAAAATAATGCACAAACACCATGTGACATGCGCATTGACTTGACGTTTAATTATCGAAAATGCAGAAAATCTTGTTTAAGTTTTTAAGTTTTGAGTATGTTTTTAATTTATGACTGGTTTGGTAGTGGTAAGGCGCCTCCTTGCTAAATTTAAAAGTCCGCTATGGGTAAGAATTTATTTTTATTTCTTTTTCAATGAGAAATGCATTTATATATTTTTTATTTTTAGGAAAATCAAGAGGCGTCATCTCTATTTTGTTTATTTAAAAAAAATATTTTTAATGTTTGTTTATTTTCAAAAAATAATTTTTTTTGTTTTTCAAGATTTTTATTACATACCCTAATATAATAACAATATGTTATGGATATCCATTTTCGGGTTTTTTAATATACATAATATATACCATGGATATAATATATATTATGGACATTCAGGAATATACATCATGGATATACTATGGATGTCCATATTACGAGTTTTTTAATGTACTTGATATATGTCATGGATATATTATGGACATCCAGGAATATACATAAGATATACCTCATGGATATACTATGGATATCCAAATAGAGGACAAAATCATATTTTATGGATATCCATGGTATATCCATACGATATTCGCGAATATACGAATATGCATAGATGTATATCCTATGTATATCCTATGTATATTTTCTTGTTATGTGGGGAGCAGTTAAAATATGTTGCTTTCCATTTTGTTTTCAATGAAATAAAATTTGCTTGTAAACACAATTAGCAATAAAAAAAACATTTGGTAAAAAGTTATTACATACTTTTTTTATTTCTAATTAATTAATGCTTTACAAAATTAATAAACGACACTTTCGTCTTCGATCTCTCAAGGGAGATTTACCAGCCGGGGTTAAACTTCGTATCCATCAAACACAGATAAAGCTGTGCAAAGGCGTAATACGTAGGGGGGAAATAGATTTTTAAATTTTTCTTTTGTTACCTATTCAAAGGCAGCTTTAGGAAGCGTTTCTGCCAGTCTGGTTGCAAAAAGTGTCAAAAGCGAATTGCTGACAAATATCACTTACATTTTTACCAAGAGTAAAAAAAAATCATTAAAATATGACCATTTTTAAATTATCTACATAGTTTGCACTTTTACGAAAAAACTAAGGTATTAAGAAAAATAAAACTATGAATAATTGACAAAGATTACAGTTTATGTACAAATATCAAAATTAAACTTCGTTTATTTTAGGACTCTTACCTACTTTGTAGTAACATTCAATTAATTTATAAATATACAATACAATATATTTTGAGCGAATACTTTTTTATTATTTATTTATTATAATAATTATAATTATAATTACTAAAGTTTTTTTATTCAAATTTTGAATTTTACATTTTAATGTCACTGTCACATGTACTGTCAATAGGCTATTTTCTTCAGTTGACAATATTGTTTCTGTTATTGTGTTGTATATCTGATATCAGATAACTCAGTAGGTGAAAAATTAAAATGATCCATCTCATTATATAATCCATTATATTTTATACCATTTTTGACTTTTGCCTCATTTATAGCTTATAGAATAGATTTCGATTATTTTTATTGTAGTATTTTTATGATGGCAGAAAACTATTTTTTCTACTCCCACCTTTAAAACGCCCTTTATCGTACATGTTTCCATGACCTTTTAAATACACTTTGACAAGTTGTGGCTTTACAGCGCTTTAGTCACGGGCTGAAGTTAGCAACAGGTTTTAGTCACGGGCTGAAGTTAGTTTTAAGTTAGTTGACAGTTGTCAAATGTCATACAATCGTTAAAATAAAGTGCCTTTCTTGTAAAATAATACTAAATGTGAAAATTACTTTATTATCTCAATACAAAAATACAAAAATATTAAATAGTTTCTCAACGCCAATATTTGAAAAGTTTATATGAACATTGTACTGACCTTTTAATTTCGCCGGCAGTAAACTATAACTTAAATTCGGGCACGGACTCTACCGTAAAGTCCTCATAAAACATTTCCTTTACTTTCACTGTGAAAAACTGTCAATTTTCAATATACATTTCGATTTATAACCTTTATAATTGTGTTTATAAAATGTAAAAATGTGACATTTGACAGTTTCCCCTGTTGTTTCATAGATGGCGCTCTATACAAATTTTTGATTTAAATAATTTTAAGATAATAATAAGTATTTGTCGTAGAAAAAGTATAGTATGCACCTCGTTTATAAACTTTTCTATACACTCATTAATTTGTGCCTAAATTAAATTCGTGTATAAAAATGCGTTTATTAAACTTGATACATAATAATATTATACTATAAAACTATATAATATATTACAGAATTTGCCCGTTCTAATATCACTTTTATCTATGGAATGACATGTATTCCGTAAAGTGTTACAGAATTAAATATTCTATCATAGGATGACAGAATAAACACTCGTGGCGACAACTCTGTTTTTAAAATCTAACAAATTTTAGACCGATCCAACCTCACTTTCTTCCAATTAAATTATTTTTCTATGGTATTTTTTGGAAACGTAGAAAAAGTATAGTCTGAAACACGTTTGGAATTGCATATTCCGCTCTCGTGAAACCGTCAAACTCGCCTTCGGCTCGTGTGACAAACTCTTCACTCGAACGGAATATGCTGTATTCCAAACTTGTTACAGAATATACTATTATCTTTTTGATTGTCTTTTGTTTTTTTTTCGGTATCTAATTTTCGTATAAGAATCCAAATATTGTTATACGGCTTTATGGATCTTCCACCATGTCGTCACTCGGGAGTTTGAATGCAATAAATGGATTCTCAGGGATATTTACACATCTTGATCAAATAAAACAGGGCCGTGCCGTGATATGATGCGAGGATGCGGCCGCATCAGGCGGCACAGTAAAGGGGCGGCATTAGCAGCAACATAAAAAAAATATAGGTACAATTTAGATTTTTCAATACTTAAAAATCTTTATGCGACACTTTTTTAGATTACTCTGTGTAATTCCGGTATTAACGTAGGCATTTAGTAAGATTGACTCGCAAAAAGGCGCCTCCCCCGCATATCAAATAACAAGTGCAAGTTTATGTGGAGTAATTCTTTGGTATTAGGTATATACAACCTGGGTTTGTAATTATTTTAACAAAGAAATAGGTATATTTTACCGAAAGTTTTCTAAAGGTAAAATGCAATTTTGTAAGCATTTTGTTAATTTCAAAGGTTACAGATTATTTTGTTAATGTTTAACAAATTATTCCGTTGAAAAAGTACTATAGTTATATTGTACCAAATTTCTATATAATCTGATGATTTCAGAATGGTGTGTTATTTCATTTTGTGTATGTTATTTTTGTGTTCATTTATGTAGGTATGTGTTAATTATGTTTTATTTAGAAAATTGTTTAATAAAGCAACATTTCTTATAGCAAATTCTCTTTTTTAAAGTTGCCAATCTACAACAAATACTTTTAATACTGGGTCTTCATAAGAGTTTGTAAAAAATACAAGAATTATGGTTGAAATTGACATGGAATTTTGTTATTAAATCTACAAAATACAGTTGGTTGTAAACTTAACAAAAAGTTATGCGGACCTGAATTAACATAAAATCTGGTTACTATTTGGTTAAAATTAACAAATATTTTTTTACGTATACCTACGTAATGTATCCCGGATGCTGAAATATTCTATGAAATCTTTAGACGGTTTAAATTACTTGTGCCAAAATAACTTAATTACTTTGTATCCGAACGCTTTTATAGTTTTGCAAATTTTATTAACACTCCCTGTATCTGTAGCTAGTGAGGAAATAAGTTTTTCAAAATTAAAACTGATAAATAACTACTCAGGAAATTCAATAAGCCAAACAAAACTTAGACATCTATCATTATTATCTATTGATTCTACATTAGCTGCCACTCTAGATTACACATCTTTAATTAACGAATTTGCTAAAATAAAAGGATAAAATTATATTAAAGTCCTGTTATATTTATGTTTTTTTCAAATTAAAAATATTTTCATTTTGTGCAGTTTTCTTGGGAATCTTTAATTAATTTAAAGAGAAAACATTTAAGGGGCGGCATTTCAATAACTTGCATCATACTGAAAAAATCTACCGCACGGCCCTCTTTGGATTTAATAATCGTCGAAGATTGGCTGAAGAATTTTGTAAAAATTGGTATTTGTTATATTCTTTTAGATTACATTTTTGCTCACATATCTTTTATTTAATAAAAGATATGTGAGCAAAAATGTAATCTAAAAGAATATAACAAATACCAATTTTTACAAAATTCTTCAGCCAATCTTCGACGATTATTAAATCCAAAGATGGAAGTATAATTGTTATTAAGAACAGAACAGAAATAGCTTAATTTAGCTAATTCACCTACTTGTTTTATCAGACACAATACAATAAATAATAACAGTTTTATCGACCAAGGAATTGGCATATTGACATTAAACCGCATTAAACCGTCAAATCAAAATTTGAACAAAAAAATATCAGTGAAACTTTTCCTCGGAATGGATTGTAAATTCATTGAATAAAAATTTAGTATACCTTAGGTACCCTATGAATAACGTAAAGGTCCAAAAATAAACAAAAAGTTCTGCTTCTCGGACTAACCTATGTTAAAAAGTAGCGTGCCGTATAGGGGGCCAGGCCCCCCCCCCCGCCCTTCTGCACAGACCGCATTTGGCGCCCTAATTAGTTGGCACGCTACTGGTTAAAAGTTATCTTTGATAAAAAATTTGTATTGTGATTTTTAAGTTTAGAAAAAAATAGTGGCATCAAATGCACATGTGTATTTTGAATAATATAAACCAGTGTAATTAATAACTTTTCCAATGAAATAAAATGTTTCTGTTATCAACCATTTTGAGATTAATTTTAATTTTAAACCTGCCAAAGTGCGGACTAGGCTTTTAGGATTTAGTATTTTGATAAAAATAGTTCAAAAGTTTCTTGTTCTGCCTTACCATCTAAACATAATAGGGTAGAATTTTAAATAGTACATCTTGGGCATGTATGACAACATGCATGCAACAATTGTTTCCATCACCAAACTCAAGTTAAGAATCATGTTACCCATTCCTAAAAATACAAAGAATTTTTAAATGGATAAATCTTCATATTTTATATTTATTTACCTTGTTTAGCAATGGAGTTAATCCTCGTCTTACAAACAATCAAATCGGCCCATTGCGTTACAACAACAGAAATCATGAAGGCAGTATAGCAGGTGTATTCCAATTTCTTTCTACTCTCATAGGACCATTCTTGGCCATAAGAGTCCAAAAGATCGTTAACATGCTCGGAATCCCAGGTTTCACGAAGACCTAAAAAATGAAAATTATATGTATTTTTTATCATGTATTATTTGTTATAACCTGAAACATTTTAGGTGTATTTAAAAAGTGTCCTAAAGTAAATTTAGAAAGCGCATTTTTTATTGAGTTGTCAAGGTTATTTTAATATAAAAACATCTGTCGACAAATCGTCAGGACAGTTTGCATATAATTTACTTTTTAAAAACTTAAAACAAAGAAAGAAGTCAAAAGTAGTTAAATCGTCAGTTTTTGGGGGGCAATAGAAAAAAAAGTAAGAACCATCCTCAGACTCTATGCAGCTATTATTATTTAGGCTCAATCTCAATATTTAATCTTGACAACAATTTTTTTGTTGGGTCACCATTTGTTTAAGTAATATTCTTACCCAAGAGCCTGGAAGGCATAAATCCGTGTTCTGCCATTATTGCGAAATAGATAAAGAACCCACACAAAGCTTCAATCATACCAATGTGTCCGTAAGCCAAAAAGTATAGTTTTCTTGTGACCAGTTTGTCTTTTTTGGGATTTCTCGGAGGTCTTAACATAATATCACTTTCTGCCTTTTCGTAGGCCAAACTTATAGCGGGCATCATGTCGGTAAGAAGATCAATGCACAAAATTGCCATAACACCTACAAATAAATTAGTTTAACAATGATGAAACAATATAGAATAATTTTGGAAAAACTTACCAAGAGGTAATGGAATGCTGAAAAGTACAAATGCCAAAAACGGTAAAATTTCTGGAATATTCGAGGCCAAAGTATAGGCAATAGATTTTTTCAGATTATCGAAAATTCTACGGCCCTCCTCAACTCCAGTTATAATCGATGCAAAATTATCGTCCAGCAAAATCATATCGGCGGATTGCTGGGATACTTCGGAACCGGAAATGCCCATGGCAATACCAATATCCGCTTTTTTCAAAGCAGGAGCGTCGTTGACGCCGTCACCGGTAACGGCAACAATGTATCCGTTTCTTTGACAACTTTCTACAATGTGGAGTTTTTGGGTCGGTGAGGTTCTTGCGAACACAATTTCCCTAAAGTTTCCGATCACCATGTCCAACTCGTGGTCGCTCATGTCCCTCAGAGCCGATCCGTGGATGACAATTGATTTGTCTTTTACATTTGGTGGCAAGGTTTCTATGATGTTGATGTTAAAAGCATCTATTACCTCTTTATTTCTAACTATTCCAACTTGCCGAGCTATGGCCTTTGCTGTGATCTAAAATTATCGAAAATATTAATAATCATACAAGCGGTTTATGGTGATACCTTTTCCAGAATTAATTAATTCAATAAATATTAACATTAACTAAATATTTTTTTTATATTATAATAAAAGCTTGAGAAACAAGAGCTTGTAAGTATGAAAATAAGAAGCATCGTTTTTGGAAAAATTGTTGCACAAAGCAACAAAAAAGGTTTTGATTTAGAAAAAAAATCTTTAATTAACTATCGGGATGTCCATTATCTGGATTCTGAATAAATATAATATACAAAAAAAACCTGGAATTTGTTTTTTAATTAAATAAAAGTTTACTTTTGGGGAATTCGTTTAAGTAACATTATACAGATATTCCATATTTTGCGTTCTAAGAGTGCTACACTGTTATAAAATTCATATTTGTTAACATGAGTTTGTAGTTTGTTAATTTTATTTTGTTAAATTTTAACATAATTTTTTGTATAAAACCAGGGTTTGTAATTATTTTAACAAAGAAAAATATATCACCGAAATTTTTGTAAAGGTAATTTGTAAATTTGTAAGACAAACAAAATATTTCCAACTGACAATACGCATCAACAAGTTCAACTGACTTCAGCGTCTGCAACTTATGTTTCTGCTTACTTTATTCTCATTCGTAACGTGTTCGTAACAACTGTCCAGAGTGTTTATAATATATTACCAGAAATCTGTTATTATTGTTTTACGGATTACTTATACCTATTTAACGAGTGTGCTATCCGCAAAAAGATGTCATCACTGAAATGTGTTAATTTTTTTGTTTAAGAAATTGATTAATAAAGCAACATATCTTATCAAAATTATTATTATTATTATTTTCATTTAAGTTCCCAATTTCCAACAAATACTTTTGTTACTAGGTCTACAAAAAGGTTTGTAAAAATAAGATCCTTTTAAAAATTACAATTATGGTTGAATTATTGACAGGATTTTGTTATTGAATCGACAAAATGTTTGTTATAATTACAAACTACTTATTTAATTAGTTAATAGATTACAGTTGGTTGTAAACTTAACATAAAGTTATATGGACCTGGATTAACATAAAATCTAGTTAATATTTTCCCATAGTTCCCATTCAAAAAATTGCAAACTCCATTAAATCTGAAGATTTTAGACCAATTAACACTGTGTGTATGTTTGAAAAAGTTTTGGAGTTGTGTATTAAAAAACAATTAATTGAATATTGCGATGAAAATTCTGTGATAAATAAGTGTCAGTCTGGTTTTAGAAGTAAACATTCGTGTGAAACTGTTATTTTAAATATTTGTAATAAGTGGATTAATGTTTTGGACAAAGGTGAAGTCGTTATTGCCGTATTTTTAGATTTTCGTCGTGCATTTGAAACTATAAATAGGGAACTTTTATTAAAAAAGCTGAATAAAATTGGATTATCCGGTAATGTACTTAAGTGATTTAAATTATATCTAACAAATAGAACTCAAAATGTAAAATTTAATAATCATATTTCTACAAAAATATCTAGTATGGAGTACCACAAGGTACAGTTTTAGGTCCTTTATTATTTATCATATATGTTAATAACATGATTAATTGAATAAATAAGTGTAATGTTTCAATGTTTGCGGATGATACTATGTTGTATGTTTGTGGAATTAATTAATATTAAAGAAATGACAGAAATGTTGAATAATGACTTATATTCTCTTTATAATTGGTTATGTAATAACGATCTTTGTCTTAATACAAATAAATGTAACTATATTGTTGTTGGCTCAAATTTTAAAACACAAGTATATGTAGATATAAAAATCAATAATTCTAGTCTGGAAAGGGTAAATGAGATAAAATACTTGGTTGTTATTTTAGACCAACGCTTAAATATTTTTAGTCATTGTAATTATATTATGTCAAAAATATCAAAAAAAGTGTATTTTTTAAATAGAATAGGAAAACAACTAAATTTATATGTAAATATTGTTTTGTATAAGTCTCTGTTTTCACCACATATCGAGTTTTGTTCGACAGTGCTTCTTAACCTAAACTACAAATAATTCAAAATAGAGCATTACCCCACACAGCACATATATCCATTGGACGTCCAGTGGACGGCCATTGTACATCCAAATGTAAGTCCATTTGACGTCCATTGGACATCTTGTGCTGTATGGGACGTACTATATTAAAATGTAATAAATATACACCCATTAAGTTAATGTTAGATGTTTTAGATTTTATGAGTATTAAACAAGAATATATTATAAATAGGGATGGGATTTTAGTTATTTTACCTTTTTTTAACCGATGTAACTATTTGAAAACCAATAATGCCAAAATGTGTTTTTTGGAGGTTTTTGCTTTAAACTACCTTTTTATACTTTTCTTATCTATTTTTTTAACTTGTTTTCAACTTTTTTTACCTTTTTTGGAGGTTTTTGCTTTAAACTACCTTTTTATACTTTTGTTACATATTTTTTAATTTGTCAGTTTATTTTTACCTATTTTTTCGTATTTTTACTTATTTTATTGTTTTGTGTTCAATTTAAATTTTGCGCCAATATTTTATCCAGGGCGTGCAACTCAACGGTATAGAATTTTTTCTTATGGTAATAGTAACTTTCTTTACAGTTACCTTCTTTGTAGCGAGGTTATGTTCTGTCATAGAACTTCTGTGTAGTGAGCATGGAGCCTACATAGGCTCCATGGTAGTGAGTGTCACTCAGTAAAACACAGTTTATTGCATAGAAATAGTTTATTGTGGGTATGTTCTGTGTTTGGGTATGCGGCTAAACAAAATTATAAATGAAACTTGCATTGGCGTAACTACAGGGGGGCCTAGAGGGGTCGGGCCCCCTCCCCAGACATCGCTGGGCCCCCCCAGGAAAAGGCTGTCTTTTATCTGTTACAATTTTTTGTTATTACCAAATTTTCAATATGTATGTATCATTTACATATCTTAGGTTGTACCTATTTTATCAACTTTCAAAATACGAGTAGGTACATATTTTAAAACCGCCTTTGCAAGCTCGCAACTAGCAATCAGGGCTGGATGCTCCCGTGGACGAGTTTAGGTTCGTGCCGCGCATGACGTCACTTGATGAGTAGTTAACTACGGCAATTGCCGTGCGAATAAACGAATAATAGTAATATTATCAAAGAAAATAGAGAAATATCTGAACATAGTGCGCTTTTATTAAACTTAATATCAAAGAATGTGTTATAATATGGATAATAGATTCTTTCAGTCCTTGATAACATTTAGGACTGTAGTTTAAGAGTTGGTGTTTTAAATTAAACTTATAGTCACTGTCCAGAAAATGTTTAGAGAAAACAGAAGCGGTCTTAACGTTAATATTGTCTATTCTTTTTATGGCATTTAACCACTGTTTGCACAAATCAAAGTTTTTCAGGAATCGATGAAATTTAATGTTTTTATTTAAAGGGTTAACTTGGACTGGTTGTCCGAATTGCATCCAAATGGCACGACACAAACTAAAACACAAACAAAACAAGTTAACGCAACACAAAAACAATAACAAACAGAACAGGTTAACACAAGGCAATATCAATAATTTGAACACTGAAAAGTAATTCGAACCTCACTGAACGCAAAAACAACAAGTTAAACAAAAAAATAGAGCAAGTTAATATCCAACAGCATCGCCAAAACAAGAATTTTAGCATCAGATAATTAAAGATACTCAAACAAGTGACGTATTTAAGCCCCGCCCAAAATGCGCACATACACTTAAGGTGTATGTATCTTGCTAGCAATTGCATCTTTTCATAACAACAAACGGTCATGCGCGGAACAAACGGTCATCAATTATTTTTGGACACGTCCTCAAGATCACATTGGAACTGTTTGTTCAAAAAAATTGTTATTTGTGCATTTTGGAGACAACATTTGTTTTACTTTTTTAAAGATTCCTAGGCCCCCCCGGGTCAGATGGCTAGTTACGCCAATGGAAACTTGAACTCTTAATGTTTTTTTTAACCTAAAATGCCGTTTTTTTAACCTAAAATGCTTTTTTTAGTAACCTATTTTTAGTACCTAAATATCCCAGCTTTAATTATAAAGCTTTAGATATAATTTTTAAAATTGAACATAAATTAGTTACCTGAATATTTGTATTGTGATGTGTGTTATTTAAACACAGTTCATACCTATGTATGAAACAAGACTTGTTTATTAAAAAGTTTAAAAAAAGTAGAAGTCAAAAAATGTTTTTTTCCAATTGTTTAAAACTTTTCAATAATTTACCAAAATATAATATATATAATATATTATAGAGTATTGTGATAATTATAATAGCTTTAAGAAAATGTTGCACTATTATGTAAAAAATATATATTAGTAGTACACAAATTGTTATAAATAGTATGACTAAATAAACTATATTTAATTTTTTTTATTAACAAATATTGGCTTTCTGTGTAAGACTGCTAATTTAACTTTTTTAAATCTCGAGAGTCCAATAAAAAAAATTTAGAAATGGCTGCCATTCCACGCGTGAGTAACAAATTGTATGTCCTCTGGACAAACAATATTTGCAACGTGATCGTTATAACGATCTAATAAGATCTCCCAAATTTTTACTTTAATATAAGTAAAAAAACAATTCGATAAATAGATCTTTCATGGTTTTTTGTTATAATTTGGTTAAAACCGCCCAACATTATGGCCACCCACTAGTTACAACAGAATTTGTCATTTTTTCGTATATCAAAACATTTATTTAAATCTATAAAAATTGATCTGGAACGAATTTTTGTTTTTTTATTTTTTTCTGGTTTTATTGAAAACCCTATTTTCTTGATAAAGATCACATACAGATCAAAAAATCTTTCTTTATTTTAAATTGTATAAAGGATATTTTAGAAAGGTTTTAGTAAATATCTAAATAAAAAACATACCGGATGGTCTCCAGTAACCATAACAACTCTGATACCAGCAGAGCGACATCTTTGCACCGCATCTGGTACTTGAGGACGTGGTGGATCAATCAAGGACATAAACCCAACAAATCTGAGATCTTTCCTGGGAAAATTCGGAGGCTCGGCGCAAAATTTGTAGTTTTTGTTGTACACAGCCGGGTCCAGAGCTAGATCGCAAAAACCGAGGACGCGCTCACCTTTTTCAGCCAAATCGGTGCAAGCCTGATCGCATAGTGTTCTGATTTCATCGGTTATTTTTACGGTTCCGTCTTTGGTTGCAATTTGGGTGCATCTTGCCAAAATACGTTCGGGGGCTCCTTTCATTACCAGTAGGTTGTTTCCTTCCTTCATTTGGTGAATACTTATCTAAAAAAATACCTAATGAGAATTGGTTTAAAACTTTAGGAATATTTTTTTTATTTGTTGTACCAACTTTTAATAGCACAATCATAATACATAACCAGATGCTCTGAATTCGTATCGGACCTAAGAATTGCTCAATCATGTCAGGTTTTAAAAAAAATTTAACCCAAAAGTCACGAAGTAATTTTTCTTTGAAAAACTCGCTATGCTATCTAGAAGGACTTTTTCCTAGGAAAATAAAATCTTTAAAAGTTTTCAATATTTCTTATCATCTTTGAGAAATCGTTAGTTAAAATTTATGAACGAAACGACGCACAGTGGGAGGAATTTCAAAAATCGCGGACAAAATTAGGGACACATTATTTTAAGCCATTTTAAGGTTTATGCGGTGGAAAATTTATGCTAAAATATTAATATTAATAAAATGTTTTAATTATGTACACAAATTCACAAATTTGTTTTAAACAATTTGGAAAAGTTCGGTTTTGTCGATCCTCCAAAAATATAAATTAATAAACAAATATATTACGCAATATAACCTAAGCTAAAAATAGAAAAATAAACAAAAAAAAACAATAACAATTAAGGAATATTCTAGCAAAATCACTTATTTACATTTTTTTCTATACATCTTTTCTTTGTAAATTTCGCATCTTTTGCTTTATTTATATCGACTACTAAAGTGACTTGGTCCAAAAACCCTATATCGATGTTAAAATAACATTTAAAAGTTGACTTTAAAGCAAAACCGTCTAAATCCACGTTTTTTACCTTCTCTCTAAAAATGAATTAGTCAAAAATGACTAATTTAATAGTTATTAGTGGCTGCTTTTTCACTTGTACCATAGTTAACCATGGAATATAATGGTATCCCAAAATTTAACTTCCAATTCTTATGTAAAATTGTCCCCGGAATCCGAAAATGGCATAAAAAATTATGAAAGTGGAGCAGTTTTTGAAATATAGTCAATTCCATATTTAATGAAAAATTGACTATATCTCAAAAACTGTTTTAATTTTTTAACTTTTGACGATATTTTCGGATTCAGGGGACAATATAAGATTTATCAATAATATCCAGGTTTTCGGTTAGGTACTTTAAAAGTTTGTTGTATTTTTCTTTGTTATTAACAAGTTCATACAACTCCTTATTAGTCGTTGATGGCATTTCTACATAAAAAGAAGCAAGTTATTCAAATAAACATGTAATATTTATATTAATATTAATATTATAACTTACCAAATATTATTATAAAGCGTTAATAAACACAAAAACACGATGAGATTGTTTGTTTGATTGACTTTCACTGTAAACTGACGTTTTAGAACTAGCAAAAGGCAACTATGATGACTTATAAATATTCGACTAATATGATAAATTCATGGACATATTTCATATTCTGCTGACCAAACAGGCAAAAAAAGGCAACTTAATTCTTTTGACTTTAAAAAAAGAAAATTTGATGAACGTTCTGGTACCAAATACTTTGCCTAGACACATCTAAAGAAATATCTTTTGGTTTGTAAAAGATTTATCTACTTTGAAAGGCGATGGTAAAAGGTTTATAAAAACCGTATTTATGGTAAAATTTGCAATTTTAGACTTTTATATGAAAGAACAAGGATAAGGAATGTGGTAAAATATACCATCATTTCCTTTCATTAATTACGCAAAACAAAAATGGGCTTAAAAAACTTACATACAATTTTCTCTAAAAAACCGACACGAACAATGTGACTTTTTAAGCAAGTATAAGCGGGCATTTTATCATAAAAAAATATATTTCTTTTAAAATCATAATCTCTGTGCTTTCTTTTTTCATAACTCGTAATTTAAAGTTTACTATGTTGATTTTTACAAAATAGGGTTTTGTCCGCGATTTTTGAAATTTCTCCCAGTGTGCGACGTATTACATTTTTTTACTTTTGGGATAGAATTCTCAAAAACCTGATAAAATATTTTCCAATATTTATTTAAGCTAATTAGCTTCTCTTAAGACATATTTTCGAAAAAAAAATTTTATATTAAATTACTTAAAATCGAGATAAATTTCAAAATGTTAATTCCTACTAGAATTTTGAAGGACGTAAAATTGTTATTAACAAGATTTTTATATAAGTTATAGCATCATTTTCAGAACGCCCTTGTGGAAATTTTTTTCTGAGAAAGTTTTAATAAGAGTTTTGAAAGTCTTACTTTCTCTTAAAAATTCTGATTAAGACTTATTAAGTCGGAAAAAGTCAGAATAAGACTTAAGTCGGAAAAAGTCTCAATAAGTCTTAGTAAGTCAGACTAATAACAAGATTTGGAAGTTTTTCTTTAAGAGTTAATAAGACTTTTTAAGACTTAATAAGACTTTTAGCAGTGAAATGGTAGATACCTATAGCGATTAAAATAAATATCCGGAATTATTGTATTTGATTATTGCAAAAGAAAGCACAATGAAAAGTATTTATAAACACTGTTTTTGTGTTGTTATAAGGCTTATAAAAACACGGAAGCAATGTTTACAATATAGGTAAACAAACTTTATTGAACAGAATAAAACAGTTGGGAAATACGTTTGGTTTGTGTACATACAGATCCCTTGTTGATTAAGTACATAAATTATAATAACTATAACAATTCTTCGCAACGCATAGGCGTGATATGGTCGACAGTCGAACTCATACTGTCCGTTCAGGCTAAGTTGAGCGGTCTAAGGAATGTCACCCCGTCCATCATCTCTATGTTCAGGCACAATTAAATACATGTATTTCGGTAGCCGCTCTGTAAGAACAAAAGGCAAGCCGCGGCACTGATAAATCATCTTCTTGTTACCGAAATCTCGCGACGATTCGATGTTTAATTTAATTAACTGCCACATGATCCCCCACCAAAGCGCTCAACTTAGCCTGAACGTACTTGTACACAGATTATAAAACAAATATGGTTGATCTTTCATTGCTTCATGTGTTTTATACAGTGTGGCCGGATGAATGTCATAAAAGTTCCCGACCAAAAATTACAAAATACTAAAAAACTAGTTATATTTTAAATTTACTAGCGCATTTGCTCTTTTTTTTAAATTAATTAAATTAATTATAATAATAATATCCTATATAGAATAAAATAATTATCTTGAAAACGGGGGAAGATGCCATCACATGACAGATCAGCTGTGCTCTAATTGGTCAGCTGAGAAAATCGATATTGTGTCTAAAAAGTATTTGGAACAATATGGCGGCAAGTATTTGGTGATTTTCAGTCTGTGCGAACTCCTAAAGAACATACCTTGTTGTGTAGGTTGTGGGTTAGATGAATATTTGCGTGTAAAAAGAAACTATTAAAATAAAACGTACAGTGGCAACAATAAAAGCAAGTCAAGCGCATCGTATGTAAAAAATTATAATTGTTATAATTATTACACCTCACATATGTTATTATATATGCAATAAACTTGGCTTATTACCACCCCGGCAAAATGTTAATAAATACTTTTCTTTGTTTTATTTTATAATAATCAAATACAACCTCTCTGAATAATTCCTGATCCTATTTATTTTAATCGCTATAGTTAGGTTCCTAGTATTTCTCTGCTGAAAGTCTTATAAAGTCTTATTAAATCTTGCTATTAGTCTGACTTACAAAGACTTCTTCAAACTTTTTTCGACTTAATAAGTCTTATTCTGACTTTTTCCGACTTAATGTATTATTCTGACTTTTTAAGAGAAAGTAAGACTTTAAAAACTCTTATTTTTACTTATTAAAACATTTTCAGAGAAAAAATTCCACAAGGGCGTCCTAAATTATTTACCAGCTTGGTGATTTTGCTTGTAAAGCATCGTATAAAGCCATATAAAATGCCAACCTACTTGATATTTGGTGGTGGAACTAAAAGGCATTTCAAGTAATTTGGGATTATCATGTCTAAATTCCGCAGGAGATCCATGCACGTGAGTAAGTTCAACGAATTTTAAAATAGCTTCTTCAGAGGCGTCACCTCTTACAAGTCTGGTTTGAATAGGTTTGTCTTCTTCTCCGTGAATAAACTCTGCTCGATTGCAAAGAGTTGCACATCTCATTAGAGTCTTAAAAACTAAAAAAAAACATACTTTCTAAAAACTCTAACATTTATACAATCTACCACCTTCTGATTTGTTATATCCCTTGGCGCTGTCTTGCTGAACTGTAGAATCGGCAGTCATGATTTGTCCATCATACCAAAAATGGCACACGGTCATTTTATTTTGCGTTAAAGTTCCAGTTTTATCGGAACAAATGATCGATGTTGATCCTAACGTTTCTACAGCTTCCAAGTTTTTGACTAGACAATTTTTAGCTGCCATTCTCTTAGCAGTTACTGACAAACACACTGTCACCGTGGCCAGCAGACCTAAACACGAAAAAATATTGTTTGTTCGAGAAGACTATAATTTTTTTACCTTCTGGTACGTTAGCGACAATGATACCGATGAGAAAGAGACATGACTCAATCCAGGAGTAGTTCATAGCCATGGCGGTTGCTCCAAATACAAAACCAAGGAAACATGCCCACACACTAATAATTTTCATGAAATGTTCCAGTTCCTTTGCTATCGGAGTTTTATTTGGTTGCAACCTAGCTGTAAGACCAGCAATTCTGCCCATCACGGTTTGATCGCCACATGCCACAACAATACCTTAAATAATAACTATGTTATATAATTAGTATGCAAAAGATAAGTTTTTACCTTTGGCTGTTCCTTCAACGGCATTCGTTGAGAAGAATGAAAAATTTTTGGTTTCCAATAAGTCATCACTGGTGCATTCGTGACTACGATACTGAGGTTCAGATTCTCCAGTTAAAGCCGAGTTATCCACCTAAATTAACGTTATTGCTTATTGACTTGATTTAAAGATTTTAACACTATGCTATATTAATTCTGAACTTTTTATGTCTGCTTAAGTTGTATTGTAAATGATCATTTTTGTGTAACTAAAGATTTTTATATGTTCGTTTGGGTCCCAGTAAGTTTATCTAATTGATTACTTTTATTGTTTTGACAATAATATCTATAGAAACCATCTGTGAGATTAACTGAAACCATGGAACAAAATTTTAATTCGGTCAATATTTAAACAATTTTAATTTTTTAGAAAGAAAAACTAAGAAAATATCGTAAAAACCTAAATCGTTCAAAATTGACTGATTTTCCACATAGGTACAGGAAATACTAAAAAAACACCTTTTTCTTTGAAGGAAAATGCAAAAGTGAAGAATTCCTAAAACCACTTGAGAATTGACAATGTAATGCGGTTTACTAAGACTTTCGTGAAAAGTATTGTAGGATGAGGGTTGTTAATGATACTGTTGAACAGGGAATCAGTCTTGTTTAAAAAATTGTGTACTACTTACTAATTTAGATGTCATGGAATACAAAAACACTTAAGGACAAAATTTTTAAAACCTTTATTGTTTGGACCTTCCTAATCTTAATTATGCTTTATAATATTTATGCTATAATATTAAATATTATTTGCTTCAACGATGTAGATAGTAGGCAAGGCCGTAGCTAGAAAAAAGTTTTGGAGGGGCAATTGATTAGCAAACAACAGGTGTAACAAAATACAGATTCAGTATACAAGGTATTTCTCTAAATAGGTATATATACCTACTAGGGTGTCCGTTATTTCTCAAGTTCGATTTTTTATTCAGGCATCATCTAAATGATCTGTTTAGAGTCTAAAACAATTTTGAAAAAAAATACATTTTAATGAGAGAAAAATATTTTTAATTAATAGACAACAGTACCTATAGAAGACATTTTTATAGAAAATTTTACGCTTTATAAAAATAGCTATTAATGCAGTTGCGTCGGGACATCCGAAGTGGATAGACGTGACAAGTGGTTAAAGAGACCTCTCCTAGCAGCGTATACGAGAGAAATATAATAAAGTTCCAAAAACAAACCAAAGTATTCGGAAATATCGGTCATCGGTAATAAATAAATAAATAAATAAATAAACATTCAAGTGCGGAAAGTGTGATAAGGGCAACAAGTGCAAAAAGAGTGCAACAAGTGCAAAAAAAAGTGAAACAAGTGTGAAGAGTGGGAGATCTCCCATTAAAGCCGTAAAAGAGGGCAATTGAATAAGTAATAAAGGCCAACGGTCCACCTGGTCAGAAGGGATAGTCACAACCAAAACCTATCAAGTACCTGCAGGGAGGTCCAGAAACATCGGACAGACCGTGAAAGACCGAGCATCAGGATTATAGCCGAATATCCAAGCTAAGTAATTTTTCTAACTGCACACTGAGAAAACGAAATATTTAATATTAAGAAATCAAAACAGTTGCGATTTTTTTAAAATATTTGTTAACTATTAAAAAATTTCTTAATCGTGAACAAATTATATACTAATTATTAAAACATCGTCCGGTGACTGTGTTTCAGACAAATAAAGGATAAAGTTGTCTTAGAACTGTGATATATTAACAGTTAATATACCTAAATAAAACGTTTTAACATTTGTCAACATAATTTTAAATGCAATATGCGCAAGCATGTGACGTTGCCGTAGTTTTTTACAAAATGGAATTTCGATATATTAACAGTTAATATATCTACATTTGCTAATACGTTATGAGCTTCTTTAATTCAACTTAACCAGTTCTTAGACCCAAATTAATATTTCTTTCGCCATATCCAGTCAACGATATGTTAATAGTTAACGTGCCTCGTTATTAACAAATATTTCGTTCTCTCAGTGCATGTCTAATAACAAACCATTTTATTCCAAAAAATCTAGTAAAACGTATCATATTTCGAAAAGGAATTTTAAGTTTCCCAGCTGGCACCAGAAAGTAAACATTCCTATTAGACAGACCACACAAGTCATTACATAAACAAAAAAGAAAAGGCAGATAAGACTCCATCCCCCAAATAAACACTTGACTAATACCATAAATAAACGCCAAAACATAAATAATAATAAACACAAACCAAACAAACATGGAAATAGTAAACACGAGCAATCATTCGGTGGGAATAATTAAAATGCCATCCGACGGAAATTGCTTAGTGGCCAGCTTGGCCCATCAACTAGATAATAGCCTGACAGGGTCAATAAATACATACGCATTAAGACAAAGACTAAATAACCACTTACGAACACACATTGAGACTTACAGCCCATACTTACAGGATGCGATCCTTGACCATCCCCACCGCTACGCGCATATTAACGACTGGGAACGCAAAACAGAGGCGTACTTAAAGGACCACGCACAAAACGGCTTCTGGCTGGGTTTAGAAACAATAATAGCAGCATCAGACATATTTAACGTCGCAATCGAAATACATCACGAACAGGGGCGTACTGACAAGATATCCTTCAGACATAACAATAGCAACCGGTCAAAAAAGTCGGTAGATCTTGCTACACATTCCACGACACCCTGGCCCAGACAATCCAATTCTCACAAACCGATCTCGCCAGCTGGGAACAAATCAGCTCCCACAAAAACCGTATGCGGGAGGAGACGGAAAAACTGTATCAACTTCCGGAATCCGACTCGGAGACGGACACAGAAACTGACGAACCGGAAGTAAACCAACAAAGATAGGAGTAAGAAACTAACTAACATACCCACCCCCCATCCACGAATACCAATTGAATGGGGGTACTACTAAGGCCTAGGTTGAGGAGGATTCCGGATTGTACTTAGTTTTGGGTCAGTTCAATGTCCTCCAAAAACCCTTCCTAAACTGGACGTATGGCCCGACCCGGCTGACAAAAATTCCGGGAGCTGCCTTAACCTTTGACACTGTCATCCACGAACTCCTAGGGTGGATCTACCAGCCGGCGTAAAAACTTCGGATCCAACAAACACAGGTAATGCTGTGATTTGGCGGGATACGCAGGAGAACGGAAAGGGGGTAATATAACCCCGGGTTCAGTGGATGACAATATATCTGGGGCTTGCCATACGTTCCCATACTCATACTCATACTCATATAAAAATAGCTATTAATGCACCAAGGGTGTTATTAAGATGATTACGCCCGGAGAGCGACACCCAGACCGAGAGTCTAACGCCATAATACAAGATTTTATTTTTCATTTTCCATAAAACTTAAAAAATAATGTTATTTTCCGAGGGAGCAATAAATCCACTACTGAAAAACTGAAAAAAATAATGTTATCCACAAAGCCCTCTCATCATAGATTAATAACCTCTCATTACGCATCGGTTGTTATGGATGCATTTACATATCTCGTATCCAAGGTGTTATGACAAAATACCAGCCAAGTGAAAAATAAAGGTTTTTTACGATCTTTTCGTAAAATCATTCATTTAAATAATATTGACCTTTGAGGTCAATGTTTGAAATAAATTTAAAAAATATATTTTTTTATTTGGGTATTATCTAAATTATTTGTTTAAAGTTTAAAAACGATTTTAAAGCAAAGGTTTCGTTTAACAGTTTATAGTTCCGCGGATCCCAATGTGCATAAACTCCTCACTGACCCGGACTAAAGTGCAAAGTGCATATTGTCACCCCTGTAATCTACCTGAACAGGTGGCTCATTGTGGCGGGAAACTGAAAGAGATCAATCACAACGAATAAGTATTTTAATAATATTTGCACGACGCTATTCGCAATGCAATAACTTGTAATTCCCAAATTCACCAGGCCTTAGAGTTTATACCTCGACACCTCAAACTATCGAACAAAAGAAATAGCTTTTTGCGAGCCACAATTATTATAGGTTTAATTGCTCTTAACATTTGTCTTTTAATTAATTTAATAAAATATAAATGCAGCATCTTAATTGTTAAAAATGGATTTAAAAAAATGTAATACAATTTCTACCACAATTAATCCTACTTTAATTTCTACCACAAAATGAATAGAAATGAATAGCCAACCAAACCCCATTCATGAACCCCAATTAAATAACTAAATCCCTGGTTAAGGGGTATTCCTGATTGTACTTAGTTTTGAGTCAGTCCCCCAAAAACCAAAATGTTCTTTCTCCTTGTCCCGCAGTCCACTAACCTAAATCAGGCGTATGGCCCGGCCCTGCGACAAAATTTCGGGAAGGGCCTTAACCAGCCGGTGTGAAAATTCGGATCTATCAAACACAGGTAATGCTGTGCAGTTGCGGGATACCTATGGGAAGTGAAAGTAAAAGTAAAAATACCTCTGGGAGATCAGTGTAAGGCGAGGCCGATATATTCTTATACTCATACTCATACTCAATAAAAACGTCATAACTCGCTTTTTAATAGACATGTCACAAATTGTAACACACGATACAATTTTTTGTAGGAAATTTCACGCTCCATTTACTATCCATAAATTTATAAACTTATATGATGTCGGAAGTAAAAGTTTAAAATATATAAAATAAAATTAAAAATATCATCATTTAGGCAGGGTTAAACGTCATCGAAAAAAAATTTAGATTATACCCAAGTAAAAAAGGCTACTGATAAATTCAGAAAAAAGATAATTACAATGCTTTTCACATTGATTTATTTAAAATGTTGATCTCTAATATCAAATAAATAGATGGTTTTACGAAATAAACATAAAACAAAATAAAGAGTTAAATTTCTTAAAAAAATAAGTCTTATATGTATATTGTTGTTTGTCTATATATCATGATTTTTTTCTAAAGTGATTTATAAAAAGGAAACGACAAAAAAATAATTGATATGATACCCAAGTGTTATTTTGAGAAATTTCGTTGGATTGGGCAATATATAAAGAAGATAAAAGATTCAAACACTATATCGGTTACCTAGTGTATTAATTATATTTTGGCAAATAATGTCTTATCTAGTTTTTCCCAAACGGTGCAGATATATACCATCACCCTTAAAACTTTCTTAATTTTACCCAAACATGTTTTTTATTTAAACTTTACAAGTTTTTAATTTTACTAAAACGCACTTAAAGAACCTGAATGCTAATGTTTGATTATTTACTCAATGAGTAGGTAGGTACTAAAATTTAGTTCACTTTTTTTTATTATCGTTTAATAAATATTACCTTAAAACCATTGCTTTGTATTATTCTAACATCCGCTGGTATTCGATCTCCAAATTTCATGTCCACCAAGTCCCCCACAACTAGCTCCTTGGACATTATCGTGAGAGTTTCTCCTCCACGTATAACTGTGGCTTTTGGGGGTACCATGTTTTCGAATGATTCCATAATCTAGCAAAATATGTTCTTTAAATGAAATCTTTTTTTGTATATTTTAGTTAATACCTTTTGACTTTTATGCTCTTGAGAATACATGAAACATCCTGTTACAACTACAACTGTTACTAAAACGCATCCCAATATAAGATTATCCGTGTCCGTTTCATTTTTAGTTAATTTCATTATTATGCATGCTGTAAAACATAGGAAGGCACCTATCCATAGTAAAAGTGAAAATCCTAAAAAAAATAATAAAATAAAATTTGGCAACTACCTACTTTGTTTTTCACTAGTTTTATCTCTTAATTTTTTACAAGAATATATCCGACATACAATAATAGAATTTTGAATTCAATATAAATAGATTTGTAGCGTTATAATAGTATTGTGTATCAAGTTATAAACGCCATTTTAGCCACGAGTTTTATTAGGCACGAGCGATGCTTCCGAGCGAGTGTTTAATAAAAACGAGTGTCTTGAGAAGTTTATAAACTTCATCTACGACAAACATAAATTTATAATAAATCTAACTTCAGCCCGTGAGTAAGTGCCCAAAAGCCACTGTTGCCAAATTTATCCCGTGAATAAAGGCCATAAAGCTTGTCAAGGTACGAGTAGATAAATATAATTAAATAAAAACAATAAAATTCATAATCAAATATTTGGCTTTTTTTAAATTATAAAATTGTTTAGGCAAAAGAATATAAAAATATTCAGCACTATTAGGGTTTTTTTAAATATGATTATATACAGGGTGGTCCAGGATTAATCTGAAAAATTTTAATGATTGATAGAGCCTGAAAAAACAATAAAAACAAACCCAAAAACATTTTTCAAAAATACACACCAACACACTAATAGCCCTTCAAATGCAAAAAACCGTTTTTTTTTAATAACTTTTAAACCATTTAACCGATTCTGCTCAAATTTTGTGTAGTTAAAATTTCTTACAAAAGGCCCAGCGGCGGAGATTTTGGGGGGGTTTACCCCCATATTTCGACCCCACTGGATTTTATTGGAAAATCAACAGATTGTCAAACACATTTGATTTATTATGCCACGTTATCAATTTAGCAACATCGAATATGCAGATATTCATTATGTGTATGGACTATGTGATGGAAATACGCTAGCACCAGAGGTTTCGAGACTACGAACTACGAAATAATAATGAACAAAATGTACGTGAACCGAGATTAAGACGACGGAATAGAAATAGGATACTTCAAAATGATCCAGGGTTGAGCTCCCGGAAAGCTGCTTTAAGACTGAATTCCTCAAAATCAAATATTCTAAGAGTTCTTCATGACAACCACCAAAAACCTTATCATTACCGCCCGGTTAAAAAAAGAAGAGCCCAATTTTGTTAGAAAAATTGTATGGCGCTTCAGCACATTCAAGTGTTCGAGTGCTGCAATGGTGCTACAAAAATTTCCCGCAATGTTAGATTGGGCGTTTTGGGCCAATCTCTAGAGATCTTGGCCGGCGAGATCGCCTGACCTCAACCCGTTAGAATACTACTTTTGGGGATGTATCAAAGATCGTGTGTATTCGACAACAGTAAGGACTAGAGAAGAATTAATAGACAGGATACGAGATTAATGTAACTACAAGTTGCACGGGCTGTCCAATTCCTTCTATGGCGCTGTCAAATGTGTTTGGATGCTGGGGGAATGCAATTTGAAAGTCTGATATAATTTGCTACAAGCTATAGCTTGTAGCAAATTATATCAGACTTTCAAATTGCATTCCCCCAGCATCCAAACACATTTGACAGTATACTGTTACTGTTATAATGTGTTACCAAATTACCGAATCCAGATAAAAATAAACTAGCGTCTAGGAGTCATCGTGTAATTGTTACTGATCCCGTCATATTTTTAGGTTGTTTTATTGTGACATTGATTGAGGATTACAATCAACGTTTGTAATTAATAATTTAATCTTTGTACACATTGTTTTTAAAATTTTAAACTAAAATATCTCCGAAACCACTGATCTGATGAAAAATTAACACAAAAGTTTTGCTTTTACATTAAAAAAGGATATAATAAATCTAATAATTCCAGTGGCCTCGAAAATATGAAGGTAAAATGGAAAACCCCCCCAAAATCTCTGCCACTGGGCCTTTTGTTAAAAAATTTTGTTATATTATCGACGGAAGCTTAGCCTACACAAAATTTGAAAAGAATCGGTTTAATGGTTTAAAAATTATTTTGAAGGACTATATCTCCGTTAGTATGCATTTTTGAAAAATGTTTTTGTGTTTGTTTTTATTGTTTTTTCAGGCTCTATCGATCATTAAAATTTTTCAGATTAATCCTGGACCACCCTGTATGTATTAGGGTGGTCGTTAAAAATTAAATTTTTTGCGACGCCCCCTAAAATGCTTCGTTTTGATGAAAAAACACTACACTTTTTTTATTTAATAGGCTGGGAAAAATTATATTATATACATATATGTTTTTATGTGTCAAAGGCTATTCCAGTCTCTTTTTTGTCACTATTACTTATATAACTTTACAACCAAATTCAGAACAAACCACCATTGTATTTTAATTTTGAAACCGACTTTTTTAATTTCTTTTTAAGCATTAAAATACCAAACAAACTTGTAAAGTTGACACTGAAAGTATGGCTTGCACATTGCATGCTTTACTTACCATACAACAATGGACATAAAGTACGTGTCTATTCTTTTAATATGTCTTTGCATTTTGCCGTTGAAAATACGTAAATGCGTATCTAGTTGCCACATATTATATTAAAAATTCAGAAGAAGTTAAAAGAAAATTCTTTTAGTGAAGTTGATAAAGATATTAAAGCTTCAGTCAATTGAGGTTTAGGAATATTTACATATTTTTCATTTACATCATCTAACAGTACTTATACAAACAATACCTAACTGTAAATAAAATACGAACTGAATAAAAAATGAGCTTTCGCAGAGCTTTCTGAAGTTAAAAGAAAATTCTTTCACAGAATGTTACGCTATACCTAGTTGAGGTTTAGGAGTTTTTACATATTTTTTATTTACTTTGTCTAACAGTACTTATATATAAGTACTGTTAGACAAAGTAAATACAAACAATACCTAACTGTAAATAAAATACGAACTTGATAAAAAATAAGCTTTCGCAGAGCTTAGACCGTTAGTAAATTTGCGATTTTTTAAAATAATTTAATAAGTACATAAAACAAATATTTTTTTCGGAAAATTATTTATTAGTCCCTATAGGGACCACCTCTTGCAAGCAAAGTCTGAAATGAATTGCTGCACAATATTAATTTAATGTCGCTACCTTGGATTAACAGTGTTCTATCTGACAAATTATACATTTTGTGGTATTAAATGTTGATATACATACTTGAAGTTTAAAATTTGAGTTAACATAAACTTTTTCTATAAATTTTAACCTTTAAAATTTACGTTGGTTCGAATTTTAGGCTGCGAGTATGTATTCCAATATTTGGATTTAAAAAATGTATACATAGCTTATTTTTGACATTTACTGGTCGCCCAAAAGGTAAGTATTTCATATTGATGGATCCAAAAAAGAAAGTTGACCCCATCGCTATATGTATCCCCGGAAATGGTCATAAAGAACTTTTGGGTATTCCAAAAATCGATAGATAAACAGGAAAGCTCAGGATCAAGCATGTGTTGATGCAGCAAAGAAATGTTGAGTTGAATCGGTCATCAAAGCCTTTAATTTAGAGGAATTGTATTTAAAACGACAGAAAGTAATACTGGTTGCCACACTGGAGCTTTGAACAATTTCTTGAACGTGAACTTGTCTGGATTGATGCCGGCATCATGCCATGGAGGCTCCATGGCATGATGCCGGCATCAATCCAGACAAGTTCACGTTCAAGAAATCGTTCAAAGTGATTGCTCCATGATGGAGCAATCACTAGACGATTATAAAGAATTTTTGAACGTGTCTCTTTTGTTTATGGTTAAATAAATAAAATACGCTCTTACATATGCTTAAGGGATGTTAAAAGCCATTTATGTCGTAAAGATATGTTTTCTGTAACAACCAGAGAGACAATAGTTATTTGTTTTCCAAGTGTTGAAATGCGACTTTTTCATGCGAGTGTTTAACATGAGCTTAAAGAAAGCTTTTTTCACAAGTGGAACACAATGTTTTTTCTACGACCACTATGTAAAAGTCACTTTTCATGATGGCATCGTTGCTTAGAAAATGAATCTTTTCATTGGCAAGGCAAAACACGAATGTAAAGTGACATTTTTGTGTGAAAAGTGACAGGTCTGTGTGAAAAGAACCGGAAAGCATCGTTTGACATTCGGCTGTCAAAAAAGTTTTTAGGTTATTTTGTTTTGTATTTAAAAATAATAAAAAATAAAAGGGTCGCAGAAAAAACATTTTGTTATACTTGTAAGAAAAGCTTTCTTCAAGCTCGTGTTAATGCACACTTGGCCTAACGGCCTCGTGGGCAACTTAAAAACTCGCATGAAAAAGTCGCTTTTCAACACTTGTAAAACAAATAACTATTTTCTACTATCCTTTTAATTTTTTATTATTTTCAAATACAAAACAAAATAAGCTAAAAACGTGTTTGACAGCTGTTAAGATTTTTTTCATCTTATTCTTTTAATTTTTAAGGTAGTTATAAGTTACTTAAAATCAATAAACTTACCTTCTAATTTAAATAGAGACACTAAAAATTAGAATTTATTATACAAACACAATTAATTGTGTTCTAAATGATATTTAGACATAAATCTGTGGGTATAAGGGGATAAGTCAAAAAAAGCAATTTTTCGGTAGAGACTTAAAGGTGTTCGCATTCATTTAGGAAATATATTTATGATTAGCGAGTATACCCTTTTGCTAGCATATGACATGTGCTGGCAAAAGGGTATAACCGCTAACCATAAATGTATTTCCTAAATTAATGCGAACACGTTTAAGGACTACTAAAAAATTGATTTGTTTGACTTATCCCCTTATGCTTTTTACCTACAGAAATATACAAATACAATACAAATTTTGAAACGAATGTTGTCAATTTTTGTTCACTCAGACCTGTAACTTTTCACACAGAAATGTCACTTTACATACGTGTTTTGCCTTGCCAATGAAAAGATTGACATAGTGGTCGTAGAAAAAGAATTTTGAATATTTAGCTCTTTTTGTTAGCTTGGTTTATGTGAGAAATTAGAATGAAGCTCCAATTGGAATTATAGCTCCATATAATTATATTAAAAGTTATCCTAGCATGTTTTTTTCAGAGCACTAAGTAGCCTTTGCATTTTTTGACAACAGAGTGTCTTAATAACTAAAGAAATAATGTTAAAAAAAAAACCTAAAGCGTCCACGTCGTGACGTGTACTGTGGAACGTCCCCTGTTAAAGGTCGGACATTGACTAAAATTTCAAATTTTTTTTAATGGATTTTAGTTATGATATTCATATTCTAGACTGTTTATACTGTACTACACTTTATCTTTTTTTTTTAATACTGAAAAATAAACCCAACAGACTAACTTTTTAAATCACCGATTTTTTTTTTTTAGAAAAATATTGATTCATAAATATAGAAAAAATGGAACAAATTTAAGGTTTCTCTCATAAGTCATACGAAGAAAACGGTTCCTCGTTGATCACGAAAAAAGATGTATTCTTCGCCTAGTCGCAAATCACCGGAAACTGTTTCCTGAGCCATCAAAAGCATCCCTTATGTCGTAGTTTTTGATTTTAGTGTTTGATATTGATTTTTCTACATACAACCTCTAAATGTTTCGCGATTCCAAAAAATGTATGTATATATAGTTATAATACTTCCCATTTAGGTGTCAGAATAAAAAAAACTTGTGGGGATAAAATGTTTTATACTTTTATTTTTGCACCACTTGTAGGTAGGTACATTATATTTATATTTTTTAATTAATTCAATTTCGGGGGGGGGCGGTGTTGAACCCCCAAACACCCCCCCTGAATCACTAATATATTAATTTCGTATGGGAAATTTAAATTATTAACTGGTCACTAGTTCTCGTAATGACGCTGAATTGATGTACGCTTATACAGGGTGTCCCAGAACTCGCGCCACAGAGAAAAAGGGAACGTGCCGAAAGTAACACAAAACACATATTTGAAACTTAAAATTGTCTAACGCAAAGGATATATCGATAAGCAAGATAAGAATAAAAAACGATAGCCAATCCCAATATGGCCATAGGGAATTCTTTAAATTGCTAGGATACTTAGGTTACATTTTTGATAATAAAAAATATGTAAAATATTTGGTCCACTGGAATCCAATTCATTGTGACACTGCTGTCTAGGGTTACCAGATTCTGTCAAAAAAAACATTTTGTATAAATTTATTCTAATTACAAAATTGACATATTGACATAAAGATACAATGCAAATAGTAAGTTTAACGTTACTTAATTATTGTTGATTGTGTCATTTTCGTAATTAATGTTAATTCACACAAAATGTCCCGATTTTTTTTTTGACAGATCTGGTAACCCTACTGCTGTCAATCTTTACTTCTGTCATTAATATTATATTAGGTTATAAATTAAGTTATTATAAATAATGTTTTCAGGTGATTATACCGAAATGATAATTATTTATGAGGAGTGTGGGACGCCAGGGAGACAGCGCGAGTTTTTTCCCAGCGCTTTCCCAATCGTTACTTTAAAACATTGGCGTCCTGAAGTATCAGTCAGATTAATAACCTCATTTTTTGAAAGCTTTTGACAACTTAGTAAATACAGTTGGCCAAAAGATTTTTAAATGTTTTAAGACAACAATGTTCTATCGTCTCCTAGCAACTTTTAAAACTCCTACGTTTAACATAGGCGAGAGCTCTCGGTATTGGCTGCCGCTTTTTTGCTCTCATTCGATTACACTATTACCTAGAAATTTTTTATTTTTAAATTTGGCATCTCAATTTCTATCGGCAGGCCCCCTTTAATCTGTGGCGCGAGTTCTGGGACACCCTGTATATCAAATTGAATCTTACCACTTTAATTTAAACAAACAATTAACCGCCCGTTCGAAAACACTTTTGAAATACCATACTACTTTTGGTAAGTATATGGGAAAGCCCGCTTGCAGCGCCATCTGGCAAACATTTTGATATTTTATGCTGTACGAAATAAAATCATGATTTTTTTCATTTTGTTGTAAAGTATGTAAGAATCCTTAAATTAAACTCCAAGTGGTGTTAAGAATATAGTTAAAGGTATAAAGTATAAAGTGCTCTTTTAGTTCCACCCTTACATCCAAACTAAGATGTCCCATAAGCAAACTGAATGGCTTGTGCGGGTTAGGGGTAGGAACGGACCGACGGCTTAAAGTCCCCTCCGAAATCAAATTCAATTGATTTTAATTTGATTCTTGGTCACTTGAATTTCCCTTATTTCCCTTAAATTATGGAAGCGTTCCCTTTTTTATTTTTGGGTACCTATGTTAGATAAAATAATATTAACTAAGAACGTATTAAGTTAAAGTGATATCATGTGGGACTATACATTTTTTTGTATAAAAATCAGTAAACTATAAGAAAACTTTAATTTATTGTACTTTTAAACTTTTAACTAAGAACATTGCTAAAGTTTAAGCAGGAATACACCAGCACATGTACAAACATATTTTAACTACAAGTCTTGATTTAAACCTATATCTAAATATTGCTCCTTTGTGAGATACCTAGATGGTGTTTTCATATTTTTTCAAGATTTTCCAATACAAATCTTTGTTATTTTTTGTTTGTCATTTTTAATAATTATTATGTTTTGCTCCTTTGGAGGGGACTTTAGAACTTAGGAACTTTTTAGAAAGTAAGGTTGAGCACTTTTTTCTCAAAATGCGAAATTGCTTAAAACTAAAAAATTAAAAAGTTTTTTGTTTTTAGGTAATATAAATAAAATTACAAATTGATATATTTCAATAAAACCTTCCTATTTAAAGTTTATTTTTATTGAGATGTACAATAGTTATTTATGTCATAAGGCTTGAAAGTTATTTTTTTGTGCTGAGCTCAAAGTTTGAATACCGACGCTTAGCCTACAATTGGGTGAAGCACAAAAAGACACTTCTTAGCCGCATGGCATACAACATTTTATCTTCAAGACCTAATTTTACATAAAACGTGCAATTATACTAATTATTAAGAGTAGAAAATGAGGTTTTCTTATTGGTTCAAACGGGTTTTTTTACAGACTAGAAGGTAAAAAACTTTACGCGATTTTTATATAGTTATTTTTAATGCTAGATTGCAAAATTCCACTTTTGCATTCGAGAATGCAAAAGAATTTCGCAATCAAGAACCAAACAAATATTTTTCGAAAACTATCCCACATTTTAAATATTACTAAAAATGTGAAGAAAACATAAAACTCCCATTATCGTACATGTTTCCATGACACTAAGTGATCTTTTAAATACACATTGACAAGTTGTGGCTTTATGGCCTTAGTCACAGGATGAAGTTAGCAACAGGTTTTTAGTCACGGTCTGAATTAGTTTTAAGTTAGTGACAGTTGTCAAATATCATACACTCGTTAAAATAAAGTGCCCTTCTCGTAAAATAATACTAAATGTAAAAATTATTTTAATATCTCAATACAAAAATACAAAACTTGATACATAATATATTATTACGTATAGAGCAACGAATGTAAAAGACTTACGTTCTGTAGACAAATATTTGTTGTTTTGACACTTAATAAGTACAGGGTCCGGCAACAGAATTGAACGGTTTTAAAAATGCTGCTATGGAAATACTATTGATTTGATATATGTCAAATAGTGACAGACTTGTACCTTATTGCCCAAAGTTTCGTGGCTGCTATGAAAATACTACAAGTTGATTTGATATATGTCAAATAGTTTTTCTGCATTGTTGTTCATTGTCTCTAAAAATTGTGTGCAGAAATCTAGTCGATTGACTTTATCAATGGGATTTAGCCTCTGGACCAGATGTAAAATTGTTCGCAAACTTCGGTCTGAAATGTGTAGAGCAATCGAGTGCCGAACTACAGAACGTCGTGGACTGCGCTCAAACGCTTCTCTGACTCTCCCAATATTTTCTTGTGTACGAACTGTACGAGGTCCACCGGCGAATTTTGATTTTACACTGCTTTTTTCGTTAAAATCTCTTACCCATCTCAAAATGGCATTTCTTGATGGGACTTCAGAGCGCACTGGCAAATTATATTCACGACAAAAGCGTCTCTGAGTTTGTACGAAGGACTGGGTCAGGGTAAACGAATTTACAGCAAATATCCGTTGATTAATCGGCCAGTTTGCCATTGCACACGAAACCTTCTGCAATAAGGTATAAGTCTGTCACTATTTGACATATACCAAATCAATAGTATTTCCATAGCAGCCTTTTCAAAACCGTTCAATTCTGATGCCGGACCCTGTATAATGTAAAGGTCAACTTTTAATAAAAGTTTTTTGAAAAAAATATTTTTACCGTCTGGGAGGTTATTCTATCGATGAAAAAATGTAATATATAATATAATATGTAAACTTGCAATATATTATGTTAACTTGGTAATATGAAATATTGAACGGTGTATTATTTAATACACAATAAAATATGATATTTGTTTAAAATTATTAAAATCTTTTATATTCTTTTATGATCAATACCTACATATAATTATATACATGCCGTAACAAGAAGAATTCTTATAAGTCAACTAGCCGGTAATAAATTGTAAATATAGACATGTCTTAAACATATGTTTTAAATAAACAGGTTTAATGTTTTAAATAAATAAACTCCTGATCCATCCTAAAATGGTTTATTTAATATTTCCTCGACTGAACATTTTATAAATTTTATAAAGTTGTACGAGAAAGCGCCACACAATTGTAAGTAAAAATTAAAGATAAAGCGAAATTTCAGACTTTAAGAGGTCGTACCCTCGAGGGACGTCATTTAACTGACCCTGTCAATTATAAATATTATTTATTTAATTAAATAATTTCCTAAAATGTAAAATTTGTTTGTTTTTTGAAAAACGTTATTTTATTTCAAAATCAGAAATTTACCGCAGGTGTTTTAAATAGGTAGTATTTTTTGAAAACACATTGGACAAATTTAGACTTTGTATGTTTGGAAACTATCCTCATAACGTTTGGAAACTATCCTATCACTAATTTATTTTTTTCAATATCCCAAATATTTGTTTGTAGTAATGGTACTGATAACTTACCTTGAGTTAAAGTTTTAATGAATTTAATATATTCAGGTGTTTTATGGGATGGTGTTAAAGTGTTTGGTCCAGTCTTAAGTAATACGGCTGCCGCCTGTTCCTTCGTAAGCCCATTGTCTCTATCTGTTTGTAGTCTTCGACATAAATCACCTAAAAAAAAAACAAAAAATGTGACGTCAAAAAGCATTCAAACAGTTGAATAATTAAGGTTGTAAGTTTATGTATACAGTATTATTACTCGTAGCCTACGAGTCGTAGGTCTATAAATCAGCGATGATGATGCAACTAAACTTACTACGTTCGTTATTTATTCGAGTGGGAAGTGAAATTATTTATGTTAAAGTTTTGTATGAAATCAAACTGAAATGTTTAATTAAATCTGGGATAATTTTTTTATTTTGTTTAAACTTCACAACAAGAATAATAATAATGCTTTTTCTACTACTTTTGCATATTATTGACATTATTTGGGTTTTTTCTTAAATAACGGTAATAAATATATTGGTTACGGTTATATATAACCGGCTATATATAACCGCCCCGCCCAACAAGGGGAATAATGAACTCATTATTCACGTCGTTAGGCATCAGTGATTGGCTAATTTCAATATTCAGTGTTATTTGAACCAATCGGGATTTAAATTGGAAAAAAGTAAGTTTAACACATGCCAGATTTTTTATATATACGAGGGGTAACTATTATGATCTTCAAAATCGGGAGAAAGTGAGGTTATAATAAATTTATTAACTGATGAAAATTACTTAATTGGAGTAGAAAAAGCATAGGATTACACTCAAAATATAGCCCATACACTGGGATGATTTACGTCTTCTGCCTGACGGCTCGAGACGCAAACCTCATCCTTGTGGGTATTATCTCTCGTACAATAATATAGGTACTATTAATTTGTTACAATAATTATCAATTTAAAGGCCTATAGACCATGAAGTAAGTCTTTTTTCCGACGCGTACAATTCAGCGAAGCCCAGGGCTCCCAGCAGGTAGTTTTTTTAAAGACTTGTCTATATTTTTGTCTTAAGTCTATAAAAGACTATTTTTTTACCTAAAGTCTATAAAATCTATATTTTCTGTTAAAATCAACTATTAAAAAATTATATAAATATTCACAGTTTTATAAATATCGAAACCACAGTAAACCAAGTGAAACATTCGAAAACTTCGCAGTTTACATTTAAAGTTCCCGCTGTCCAGACCCGAACCGCCCGCCAAAATTATTGCTGAACTGTTTCTGGTTTGGTCTAGGGTTTCGTTTACGTTTATAGCTTCTTTACTCAATGTTTATAGTTTCGGTTCGCTAGGTTAACACTACCTATATATGCATTTTTCATGAAATTAGTAAGTACCTAGTATCTATCAAAGAACATGACATCGTCTGAACATATTTTTTTAGGGTTATGGAATGGATGATAAAACATAGAATGGGAACACATTCTTTGTCACATTGTGACAAAGAATGTGTTCCTATTCTATGTTTTATCATCCATTCCATAACCCTAAAAAAATATGTTCAGACGATAGCAAAAGTAAGTGTATAACTATAGTTTTGATTATACATTTATATTATTTAATAAAAACAAAGTTTAAATGTACTTGTATTGACATAAAAAAAATTAAATTGTACGATTAAGGAAGGGTGCAGAAAATAAAAAAAATTACTAAAATATGTATGGCTCAACTAATGTTTGAAGGATCCCAAAAAAGAAGCGGGGAAGGTAACTTACAAGATTAGTCGTCTTGCCCAAGATTTAGAAAAACGAAAGGCGAAAATTATAGATCAGCTGCAGCCCAGCAAAAAATATATAACCCATTAAATGACTGATGCCAGTGCCTTTTATATAAATGTGATTCTATTTATTATAAGTTATAATTTATTACAGAGTTTAATATTTTTTTGTTATTTATGTATTTTATAACAGTTATGGTTACTTGTTAAATTTAATTCAATAAAAATTTATAATTTCAAGTTATCTCTATGTATTTTAAATTCAAATTTAGATCTTTTATCCCAAAAAAATGTATACCTCCATTTTATAGTTATTTCGGTAATTAATTTGGTCCATATTTGGTCGTTTATTTTTTATTATTAGTCTCTTAAGTCACTATTTCTCGCAACATGGACTGCTGGGAGCCCTGAGCGAAGCACAAAAAGATTTTCTTGACATGACATGACATACAACATGTTATTTTCAATCTGTCCATAAAGTATAAATTTTATTTGTTAAACTATAAGTAAAACGTACAATAATTAAAAGTATAAAATGAGGTTCAATGGATCATATGTTTATTGAATTTTATGATTGGTCCAAACGCCGTAAATAATGAATTACTAGCCTCAAAAAGTAGTTTGCAACTAAACGATTAATGTAAATTATTTGTTTGTGACCAGTTCATAATCAATCACTTTTGTGTCGAGTATTGACAACAATAAAGTTTAATTTATAAACCTTTGAAGATAAAATATTTATATACTTGAAAATGCTTTACCTTAGTGCATAAAATACGGGGATCCCTTGATGCCTTAGTAAGGCAGCCTTACACATTTTTAATTGCACTCATATTCCAACTAAATAAAATTCAATAAAAATTAACAATTTTGTTAGTAAAAGATCAAAACAGAAAAAAATACAAAAATGCATTGATATGGATGTACATACTTCATTACTTCATAACTTTATTAATTTAACAATTTTGGAGAAATTCTGGTAATAAAGTGGATTCAGGGTTCAGGGTGAGTTGACATTTAAAATACTGGTTAAAAGAACGCATCTAAGCAGATACGTTTTTTAAATAAGGATATTGGCTCGTTTGAGGTCCGCATTCCGTTTTAAGATGTAAATACCCATATTCTTCTTGGGAGAAAAAAGAATGGAGGGGCGAATTTGCTATTGCTTATTAATTAATAAAAAAAATTCCGGTATTTATAAATTTTCTACTGTTAGTCTTTTTAAATCAATAGGCTAGTCTTTTTATATATTATGCTATGTTTTTAAATAGTATATTACACTACAAGGGCAGAAAGTGTGAGATTCCTGCACTGCGCGCCATGATGCCCGAGGCGAACTATTTTTCTTGCTACCCGGCCGAAAATACGGGAAAAAATTAAATGTGTATATCGAAACATATTGATGCCTGCCCCGACATTTGCGGCACGAGCGAAGCCTTCGTAGCCCTTGTAGTGTAATATACTATTTCTTACTACCTCGGCCGAAAATACGTTGTTTCGTCCCCGATTCCAATGCATCAAACGTAAATTTGACCAATGCATCAAACGTAAACTTTCTGCCGTGGAATCGGGGACGAAACAACGTATTTTCGGCCGAGGTAGTAAAAAAATATATTTTTCTACTGCCCCCTTCAAAATCGCCCATTATTCTACATGATCATAAAAATTTAATTACACATTAACAAGTTGTGGCTCTGGCTGAAGTAAGCAACAGGTTTTTAGTGACGGGCTGAAGTTAGTTTTAAGTTAGTTGACAGTTGTAAAATGTCATACCATCGTTAAAATAAAGTGCCCTTCTTATAAAATAATACTAAATGTAAACATTATTTCATAATCTCAGTTCAAAAATAAAAAAGTATTAAATAGTTTCTCAGCGCTAATATTTGAAAAGTTCATATAAATATTGTACTGAACTTTTAATTTCGCCGGCAGTAAAACTAGATTTAACTTAATTTTGGGTGGAAACTTCTCCGAGGAGTGCCCATAATAGTATATTATGTATCAAGTTTGATTAACGCCATTTTATACACGAATTTAATTTAGGCACGAGCGAGCTTGCGAGGGGAATCTGTGTGTCACCGTCAAATGTCAAATTTTTATATTTTATAAACACAGATTATAAAGGTGATAAATCGAAATGTATTTCTTGAAAATTGACAGTTTCTCACAGTGAAAGTAAAGAAAATGTTTTATGAGGACTTTACAGTCCACGTGACGTGAGTCCGTGCCCAAATTTAAGTTATAGTTTACTGCCGGCGAAATTAAAAGGTCAGTACAATGTTCATATAAACTTTTTAAATATTGGCGTGGAGAAACTATTTAATACTTTTGTATTTTTTTATTGAGATAATAAAATAATTTTTAAATTTAGTATTATTTTACAAGAAAGGCACTTTATTTTAACGATTGTATGACATTTGACAACTGTCAACTAACTTAAAACTAACTTCAGCCCGTGACTAAAAACCTGTTGCTAACTTCAGCCCGTGACTAAATTGCCATAAAACCACAACTTGTCAATGTGTATTTAAAAGGTCACTTAGTGTCATGGAAACATGTATAATAAAGGGCGTTTTAAAGGTGGGAGTTGCAAAAAACATGTTCTTTACTTTCACTGTGAAAACCAGCTTCTTTCTATATATACAAACATATAAACTTTTCAATTAAATTAAATTCGTAACTAAAATGGCCTTTCTCAAAACTTGATACATAATATACTATTATTTAAATAATTTATAAGTACTCTAATTTTTAAACCTGTCTTCACAAAAGTACGGGTAGTTAGGTAGATAGTCGGTGTTGACCAATAGATAAAAATATTAATTTTGAAATGTATTACTTAATTTAAAGTCATAAAAGTAAAAAAGTAAATAACCCAAAGGCCAAGACCACCTTCTCCTAATTGACAAATAAAGACCGCATTGTCCACATGCTAATTGGTAACTATTCTATGAGTAAATTTTCTAATCGCACTTAAAATATGTACGAATACTTTTTTTAATAATCAGTCCCAATAAAAGTAGTAATGGTAATTATTACTAATATTTGAAATATTTTAAATATTATACTATACACCCATAGGTGTTTCACTCAATTTAAGGTCACAAAAGTACCTAATTGATTAAACGTGTTTCCAACCAAAATTTAGACGAATTAAACGAAGTCCTATAAAATTAGCTAATTTTTAGAATATAGAGTTACAGCTATATAACGCACTGAAACCTAAATTTTTATGTGAAATATTGATAAAGTATTTTTTTAAACATTGACCTCTTGATTACGCAGGCTGTCTGAAGTTAAAATTGAGTATTTTTGTATTTATTTTCTATCAGCGCTTTGTGTAACACTTGCAGACACTGAGACCACACATTTTGGCCACAGCCTTGCGTTTCAAAATGTATTTTT